TATGAATTCAGAGTTGAGGTTGTGATGCTGTATGAATTCAGAGTTGAGGTTGTGATGTTGTATGAATTCAGAGTTGAGGTTGTGATGTTGTATGAATTCAGAGTTGAGGTTGTGATGTTGTATGAATTCAGAGTTGAGGTTGTGATGTTGTATGAATTCAGAGTTGAGGTTGTGATGCTGTATGAATTCAGAGTTGAGGTTGTGATGTTGTATGAATTCAGAGTTGAGGTTGTGATGTTGTATGAATTCAGAGTTAAGGTTGTGATGTTGTATGAATTCAGAGTTGAGGTTGTGATGTTGTATGAATTCAGAGTTGAGGTTGTGATGCTGTATGAATTCAGAGTTGAGGTTGACTATGATGACTAAGAAGTGGTTGTAAGTAGTAAATTTTCATTTTTTTATGAATGTTAATGCACAAATTCCTATTTGTTTTAAAAATCATTTTATTGATAAAAGAATTAAAATATATTTCCCAAATTGATAGATCTTAAATAATTTTGAAAGCTGAAAATAGATATCTTAGAAGCAGACTTTCTAGATTATGAGTCCGTAGTTAACGAGATTGTACTGTAAAAAGTTAATGTGTTTTGGAAGCTGGACAACTATTTGTTCACTTACTATATCAGAATGCTCATAACACAGTGGATTTGGCTGTGTAAGTTGTCATGTGTTTTTTGTTGAAGTATATACTCTGTACAAACCATGAATGGCTATACTGGGAGGTAATTTATCACTTAGTCCTCACTGTGGGACACGATTAAGAATGAGAAAAATGTTGAAGTTCTGGACTTGGTCACATTCAGGCATTTTTGTACAGGTGTATTTAGGATGAACAGTACCTGGTTCTCCTCACTAGTGTCTGGTCTAGAATGTGTACTGGCCGTAGCACCATATACACACATAGAAATTCCAGTATAATGTGACCCCATTTGTCTTTTTTTTTTTTATAGTTTCTTACAAAATTCAAAGTAATGAAATATGTTTTTGCTTCTCTAAGATTTGTGTCAACATTTGTATATTTGAATATAACAGAATGTTTTTACTGACAGTTTTGAATCTTAGCCAAGCCACATGGCTTTTTTGTATGTTTTGTTTGTTTGTCTCTGATAGTGCCTGAAGTAGTAAGTCTTGGTCAATCAGGACCCCCCTCCAAAACAAAAAGTCATTCAGATACTAAGTGACCCAATTAACTAGATGTTGTAAGAATATATATATTTTAAGAAATCAATTGGATCTTAATAGATATTATTGGAATGAACAGATATTTGGTTATCTGATATCTTTATAATAAGCTTTGAAAAGAATTGAGCTTTCTACAGATTGTACGACAACGTAAAGTTAAAGCTGAAAAGGAGCCATGATCATAAATTTAAATACTGAATTGAATCTAATTTGCACCAAATGATTCTATTCTGGGAAATTTGGTCAGGATGGATTGGTAAATGGTTTCCACATGTACCTGTTGTTAAAAAATGTTTTGTTGTGAAGTGAATTTTAGATTCTTTACACTTGAATATAACAGTAGAACTTAGGTAATCTGTGAATATATACTTGAAATGTAATTGAATTAGATGTAGGCTGAATAAACAAAGACAGTACCACTTAATTTGTATTCTTCATCCAAGTAGAAAACAAGATGATTTGACATGTTATTTTCATTGGTTTCTCAGATGAAACCTCAACTTTTCCACAGAGAAAATTCTGGATGTATAAGAACCGAGTCTTATCATAGAAATGAAGCTTGTTGAAAGGATGTTGCTACTTTCTTAGTGAAATTTAGCTTTCAAGTTTGAGTTTGTCATTATATCTTCAGAGAAAGCCCTTGCATCAGGGATTCCTATTGAATTCTCCTCCATTTTCTTTCTCTCCGTAACCCCTGTTCACTTTTACGTTTTTCTGTGTTTTGACAAAATGAAGTCTTAGTAACATCTCAACAATCTTTGGCATTCCAACATTCTTGGAACCATCTTGGTTGATATAAATGAAGTTTGGCACATTAATGATGATATCTAGAGGCTGACGATACATACACATGTAGGTATATGCACCCTCAATGAGGTGCATCTGATGCTTTTATCTGTACCATAGACAACACTACCCAGGTACGGTATAGATAACACACTTTCTCCTGCTCTGGCGGCTGTTATATTCTATATATATACCTAGTTTAAGGGCAAGATAAGGGTTTATTTTTATGCTGTTTTGTAATCAGAGATTCTATATTTTTGTCTGTTTGAACAAGGTTGTGAGATAACATTTGATATATACATATCAGGCAATAATTTATTCTGTTGATCATTTATGTCCTACCACATAGAGAATTAATACAAACATTAAGCTTTTCTCTTGGTCCATCGTACTAGCACAGTTGGTCACTATGGTTTCAGGCATTCAAATTTACTGTTACATTTTGTATTTCACTGTTACATTTTGTATTTCACTGTTACATTTTGTATTTTACTTTGTTTTGTAAGACTTTGACTTCAGCATCATTTCCAATGATGTGGAAGATTGAATCATATATCTTTTTACAAACACCTTCTGGTCTATGACATCAATGGGCTTTTTAACAGTGTTAAATTTCCAGAGCTCAAGTGAGAAATATAATGCTTATGTTAATGATGGTAATGTTAAGATGTTGTACTTTGGTCTGTAGACTTGTAAAATGTAGTTGAGTTGGTTCATGGTAACTTGCCTATACATGTGAAATTCTCTGATAGCTGATTAAAACCATAGTTTTATGAAAATGTTACTTGAATTAAAAACTTTTAACATGCAACTAATAGCAGAAACAATTGATTAAGGATTACTTTGATAGATGTAAAAACAATAAAGGGAGCTAACTCCACAGGTAACAAATGTAATGATTAAGGTCACTTTAACTGTATACATTATTGACTCATCTGTCCACAAGGGCTTCATGAGTTTATGCTGCAGTATGGTGTTAGTCCTGAGTCAACTTTTTCCTTAAAATGATCTAGCTCTTTTGAATTACCAAAAAGTCTAGAATTATAATATTTTGCTGAAAAGGCCTTTTGATAAAACTACATAAAGTTTACCAGAAATAATAACCTTGAATTTCATCCAAAATCACAGGAGTCATATTTGTTAAATCATTCAAACAACTTCTTCTAATGTACTATAAAGTCTAGAAACATGATATTTTACTGTTATCTTCATGAGATGAAGCAGAACTAGGTTTGAAAAAGAAATAACTTTTATCCAACTTTAAGGTTGCAAGGGTCAAAGTTGTTAAACCCTTCAAATTATTTCTTCTCAGTACCAAATGATGTGGAATGTTAGGTATTTTTGAAAAGCATTGAGTAACAGGTAAGGCTTGCAGGCCAATTGGGCCACTTGTTATTGTTGTTGCCACATATTATCCATACACATAAACACATTTTTACTAAATGTTTGTGGCTAAGTACCGAAAGGTTATGCATGTGTGACCTGTGTCCTGGGGACTCTTCCTCATGGTCACTGCTGCCAAAGTTTACTGTAGAGATTAATGATGACAATGTCAGTCTGTAACACCTTGTTGTGGTCATATTTCATGTTGGTACATCATCCCTACTAGGTAGAGACCAGATAAAAACAGGTCATGGTGGAATTGTAATCCATGTGATATGGCTTTTGTTCTATGGAGATATATGTAATTATAGTTGTCATTTGTGTTGTGTTGTGTGTGGTCTATGGAATTGTCACTATGGGTAGGTGGATTTACGGTGAGGATGAGATTAAGACAATCCATGTTGGAGAGGACCAGGTATGTGTTTCATCATAGGGGTGCTCTTCTGTATAACTTCGTAAATATTCTCTCTCAATCCTGAACATACCATTACTCTTTGAGAGGAGAATAAAAAAATATGTATAATACTTAGGAGATGTTTTTTAGGATTGGCGAGAGACTCCTGATTTTGGCTTCTACTTGGAGTTTTAATTATCAGTTTAAGTGGTTCATAATTTCATAAATCTACTGATCCAACCAAACAAGCAGCCTCAAATATCCCCTCGTCGTTGAAAGGTAGTAGTAGTTTGACAAAAGGTAGCTCTACACATACGATGTACCTACTTCTCTGAGACTGGAAGTCTTATGTGAGTAATCTCTGGAAGGAAAATAAAAAAGTGGGAAAGTAAGAGCTTGGGAATCATATAACGTATAGATGTTCAATTACCAGGTCATCTCATTTTCATTTGTTCTGGTTAGATATCACAACTACAGTGGAGACTTCCTTTTACTTTAGTTTATAGCTACGTTTATGTACAATGTATTTTTAGACATTTAACAGAAATGATGGTAATTTCAGTTTTAAATGTAAGTTAATATCAACAAAAGTCATTTGTACTAAATAGTCTGCAATAGGTAATTAATTAACAATTAGATATTAAATTAAAAATTTCATTTTCAGTTTAATGGCAGTATTTCTGATGAACTTTAATTTTTTTGTACAGTTTGGTAAATTGAATTAAGATAACCTTTGTATTGTGTTTTCCTCTTAATTAATTAAGAATTAAGAATTTGAGTGTTTTCCTCTTACACCTTTGTATTGTGTTTTCCTCTTACACCTTTGTATTGTGTTTTCCTCTTACACCTTTGTATTGTGTTTTCCTCTTTGTAGTGACAATGTATATACAACAGAAGTGATATTGGTTTACAGCTTGTACCATGATAGATAGGGAGGAAGCTAAGCCTTCATATAACATATTGTGTCCTATTTGTATAGCAAACAATTATTATGTATTACTTCTGTATAGGGAATTTTGTGATTATACTGAAGTAAATGTTCTGTTACACTTGTATGACACACATCCAGTTTGACAAATAGGTCAGATTAGAAAGGATGTTGAAATATGCAGGTCCTTGTTGGTAAATTTCACCAGAAATGAGATTATAATACTTTGTTTGATTAGACAGTGTGTTGATGTGAATTATTGAATGGAGGTATTAAAAATGATGATCTGAATAATCACAATTTTTTTTTTCTTTTTAATCTTTTCAGGCATTTGGTAATGCTAAGACAGTTCACAACAACAACTCAAGTCGTTTTGGAAAATTTATCCAAGTAAACTACAAAGAGAATGGCATGGTACATGGGTAAGTCTGTTCCCATATTTACATATACAAATCTGTCACCACATCAAATTTGGGTACATATACAGCGATGTTGTTGATATATTTACAAATCTGTTACCATTGATACATTTACAAATCTGTTACCATACATACATATATATATATAAAGAAAATTGTTAAAAAAGTTAAGTTAGCATTTTGCATAACGTTTTCACAGCTTAGCTGCTCCTCAGTGCAAAGTAACTATATATATATATATATATTTATAAATCAGTTACTATAGATATATATATATACAAATCCGTTACCATAGATACATTTACAAATCTGTTACCGTATATTAAATCTGTTAATAATATATATATATATATATATACATTTAAATCCAAATCTGTTACCATAGATACATTTACAAATCTGTTACCATACATTAAATCTGTTACTATAGATATAAATATATATATACAAATCTGTTAACATAGATACATTTACAAATCTGTTACCATACTTATATATATATATATATTTATAAATCAGTTACTATAGATATATATATATACAAATCCGTTAACATTGATACATTTACAAATCTGTTACCATTAATAGATACATTTACAACTTTGTTACCATTAATAGATACATTTACAACTTTGTTACCATTAATAGATACATTTACAACTTTGTTACCATTAATAGATACATTTATTTGTTACCATTAATAGATACATTTACAACTTTGTTACCATTAATAGATACATTTACAACTTTGTTACCATTAATAGATACATTTACAACTTTGTTACCATTAATAGATACATTTATATATATATATACATTTACAACTTTGTTACCATTAATAGATACATTTACAACTTTGTTACCATTAATAGATACATTTACAACTTTGTTACCATTAATAGATACATTTACAACTTTGTTACCATTAATAGATACATTTACAACTTTGTTACCATTAATAGATACATTTACAACTTTGTTACCATTAATAGATACATTTACAACTTTGTTACCATTAATAGATACATTAACAAATCTGTTACAATACATATGTATAAATCTGTTACTATAGATACATGTACAAATCCGTTACCATGGATATATGTACAAGTTATATATATAGATACATTTACAAATCAGTTACAATAGATACTTGTGTATAGACAAACATTTTACTGTTAAATCTGTTACCATAGACACCTGTTCATTGGAAAGTAGATATACTTCTAATTGGTTAAAACCTTTTACTGTTAATAATACTTGTACAGGATGGTGAGAGATGGATGGAAGAGAGAGAGAAATGGAGAAATAAAACTTTAACATGGAAGATAGATTATGACAAATGTAAGAAAGATATCGGGGAAAGTTATGATAAGTTGTATAGATTATGACAAAGGTAAGAAAGATATCGGGGAAAGTTATGATAAGTTGTATAGATTATGACAAAGGTAAGAAAGATATCGGGGAAAGTTATGATAAGTTGTATAGATTATGACAAAGGTAAGAAAGATATCGGGGAAAGTTATGATAAGTTGTATAGATTATGACAAAGGTAAGAAAGATATCGGGGAAAGTTATGATAAGTTGTATAGATTATGACAAAGGTAAGAAAGATATCGGGGAAAGTTATGATAAGTTGTATAGATTATGACAAAGGTAAGAAAGATATCGGAAAGTTATGATAAGTTGTATAGATTATGACAAAGGTAAGAAAGATATCGGGGAAAGTTATGATAAGTTGTATAGATTATGACAAAGGTAAGAAAGATATCGGGGAAAGTTATGATAAGTTGTATAGATTATGACAAAGGTAAGAAAGATATCGGGGAAAGTTATGATAAGTTGTAACAAGGACAGACATTATTGCTTCCGGAGCTCTTACAACAACTCTGCCTTGGTCTGTAAATATCCTTTCACCAAGTACCTATCTAAAAGAGTTGGTGAGAATGGTCTTTGTGAAGGACTTACAATTAGTTCCTTGAAATCATAATACTTTCATCATGACCCACATGATCTACGTATGTGTGAAGTGAAACAACTGCTTTAGGAGTGTTATTAGCGGTATTCTGGACCTTTTATCACAAGGAAAGTTTGTTGTTTTGAAGTTGGGATTATTACAAATCTGGTTAGCTAGGTATTAAAGCAGACTTATAGTTAGACATATGATGTAGTGATCTGGACTATAAAACTGGATATCTTAATATTTTGGTAACACTGATACAGGTACTTATTAAATAAATGTGTCAGAATTTGGCCTTTTTCCCAGTTTATAAGAAATTTCATATAAAATTGATAATAGTGAAACGGAAATAGAGAAAGGAGCTCCTCCCCCCCAACCAAAATCCAACAGAAAACACTGAACATTGTAAAATCAGTTAATGTATCAATTAGAGCTGCATTCTAGGCAGTAACACCATCTTAGATCTTGGGTTTTAAGTTTGTTGTAATCTTGACAAAAAGGGAGGTTCTAATGAATCAGATTTATGATAGAATGTCTTTTCAGGTGTCCTGATTAATTGTGTAGTTTATTAATGGATCTATTGTAGATTATATAAGTTATATAAAAATTCACTCAGTAAAAACCAACATAACTGGTTATAAAAGCAGACAAAATATCTCCTTTCTCATACTTTTTACTTAAATCTATGTTCAACTCTCCACCATTTATTTCCTTATTCAACTCATATTAGCAATTCTCAACAAAAGAGATTTATTTAAGCTTATGCTAAATATTATCAGAGTGCTGTTAATAACACATGCAACAATACATCAGGTTTTTCTTGTTAAATCTGAGATTAATATCATTATGTGAATGTTTTGCCTTAACTGTGTACTTTGACCTGATGTGGTGCCTGTGATCTCTGTGAAACTGTACCTAGTAGTGGGGGACACAGATGAGTGCTAACTAGTAACGGATATAGAATTCACTCTTAAAACACTTCCTTCGTTCACAAGGAATACAGTTGCACAAACAGAAAAAAAACCCTACTGTGGTGGCAAAAGTAAGAGGCCATTAAGACAGTGTGTTAATTTGATATAACTAGATGACTTGATGATGATGTGGGTAGGTGCTAGAATTACATACCTGTTTTGTGGATGTGTGGAAATATTTTCCCACACTTAACATCACTCATTAGTGACATCAGTTCCCACAGTCAGCTACAAGTGCAACAACATTTTGTAATTTGTCTACAGTATTGTTAGAAAAAAGTCATTACAAGGGCTATGTCAGCACACCACTGCAAAGGATAAGCTTGAAAGGGTCAAAGATGGATGTTTTTGGCTAGACTGGGTGTGACTTTTTGGACTAGATTTAGCTGGGTCTTATCCTTTAATTAGGTTAGGTCAAGCTTAAAATTTTACCTTTTACTAAGCTTAGATAAATTCTAAAGTATAGCATAAATCTCCCATTGAAAGTTCTGCAATATGGAGTGTTCACTGTAATACCAAAATGATACAGCATTTTTGTCTTTATTAGGACTCATTAGTGATGCTAAGAGACGAAATTGTTGAAATATAGGATAGAATGAGGTGTTCGTTTATGCCATGTTGGCTGTCACGTTACTATAACTGAGTATATTCTCAGGACCTGTCTTGCAACACTATTGATTGAAGGTCACAGCGACCTTTTATCTTACATGGTTAGTTGGAGAAGTGGGAACAGATGGTTCAGTCTACTATCACCTCACATATCTTGTATTACCTGTTGAATGTGTGATGAAGTCCATTCACCTGCCCAGCTCCTAAACTACACACTTTGAAGCATCTGTAGCTAACAAATATATACACTGCTAAAAATATAGAGAATTAACATTAAGCGATAGTGATGAAGGAGAAAACATCCCCATTTCTAGGCTCTATAAACACAACTCTAAACATCACCATCTTCACTGACAGTCAGACACAAGTGTTTAGTTTATATCTACTGCAACTGTTTTCAGCGCAGACTTTAGAGGTTTGAACAGATGAACCATTTTCATCAACCCAAGGTTCCTGTCAGAAGAAAATAGTTTTGTATATAATCTCCTAATTACAGCACTGTCTATTGGTAAATGAGGGTTTGGTAAATTAATTAATATTTTATTGTTGGATGTGAACAAAAGGCAGTTTACCAAGTTTTATTGTTGAATGTGAACAAAAGGCAGTTTACCAAGGTTTTATTGTTTTGAATGTGACGAAAAGGATAGAATATGAAGGTTTGATATAACATAAAGTATATCAAGGTTTTACTGAGTTGGATGTGACAAAAAAGGGCAGTTTACCAAGGTTTTATTGTTAAATACTGAGTTAAGAGCTTTATATCTAGGTTTAACTGTCAGACATGATACATAAACGATTTGATGCCAATGTATTTATCATAAGAGCTTTACATCTAGGTTTAACTGTCAGACATATGATAAATAAATGATTTGATGCCAATGTATTTATCAGAACTTTTCCCTAGTCTAATTTTATAATTATAAAAAAGGTTTGTATTCATTGTGTAAAAATAAATGAAAGATATTTGATAAACATTATAGCAACCACATGGATCCAATTCTGCACGCTTATACACTATAGTCTTACACTTATGCAGTGATGCTCCCAAGAAACCAGCATTACAACCCCACTAAAATCAGAATTCTCTGTCAATCTAATGACTGGTTATTCTTTATAATTTGTCTTTCAATGTACTGACCTAATTTTTTAAAGTTTTTGATCATTGATAACAAACTTAATTCTGAAATGTTCTGTTTTATGCATTATAGTATTCATTGAGATTCTTTGATTTATTTACAGTGCCATTGTGGAAAAATATCTGCTTGAGAAATCCAGGATTGTCCATCAAGCAAGAAATGAAAGGTTAGTTTTACAATGTACAAAACATCGTATATCATCAATAAAATAATAAAATAGGTGGATGAACAGTAATTCAGTTATTTGATATATGTTTTGTTTTTCGAAATATGAATGTTGTCGTTTTTAGTTAGTTGTCTGACGTTCAGCAAAATCTGGCTTCACCTTGCATGACCGTAATGAAGGTGTCGATGTTAGGCCAGTGATAAGGCTGGAAAGTGGACTGAACTGTCGTTTTAGTTGGGCTGGGCAATATAAAGCATGACCTTAAGGCTGACCTCTGTCACTTTGACCCTATTGAAGGTCACAATGCCTCAGGTACATAGGGCGATTTTCTCAAGGAAACTATAGGTGAATATGTCATTAGCACAGGTAATGTGACAAGTACTGTTGCTTATTATCACTGAATGGTTGACATCATTATAGTAATACACATGCTGTACAAAGACCCTTAATCTGATGGCTGTTACCAATGATTGCCACAGTTATCCACAAAAAAGCCCCCTTCTTCATTTTTACAGAATCATTAATTTTGAAATAATAAACATTAAGTAGGTAACAATTTAGCCCTTCCCAACTTTACTATGAAACTTTTACACCAGAGAACATATTTGAGGATAATTACAGCAATACATGTGTTCATGATTTGATACAGAAACTGATGACAACATTAATATATGTGTTCATGATTAGATACAGAAACTGATGACATCATTAATACATGTGTTCATGATTAGATACAGAAACTGATGACATCATTAATACATGTGTTTATGATTCAATACAGAAACTGCAGATGCCAGCAATTATAGGTGATTACTCCTACACTTACATAGACTGTATTATTAGATATTATGTTGTAATTAGGATGCAGAGTACTTTAAATACATCTTATTATCCTATAACTGCAGACTAAATAGCTTGCTAAATTCTTATTTTGAAAGAAAACTTACAATGGTTTAATGCTGTTTTTGAGACCTTTTATTTGTATGAGATGACTATAAGATTGAACAAATTCCAAAAAATGGGTCCAAAATGACCTGCATCCTTTTTTTTATTTCATGTTTATTTAGTAATATTAATTTTCGACATCTATCTTGAAAAAGTAAAGTTTAGAAGCATTTTCTTCTTTTTTTTTCCTCACAAAAGAAGTGGGATTTAGGTATCAGTTTCCCACTGTCATTGGATTACTAGCCTTGTCCTAAAACACTGCTGTCAGAAGGACAGTGGTAAGGTATATAAAGGACGCTTCTGAAAAGCCTTTTTAAATCCTCAAATATAACATTGTATTGATGGAAAACAGACTGTGACCACGACACACTGTCAATCATAAAGAACAAATTCTTGTGTAGGTAGGTTAGTTTGTTGTGGAAAAGTAAAAAAAAATCAGGATTAGAATTCATATAATAAACGTTCTCGCTTTATTTCTTCACGTGTGTTGGTGATTACACTATATATGAAGACTTTCAGATAGAGCTGAAACAAAATTTAAACAACCCAGTGGATTGATTTAGTACCTGGCATAGCACAGGTTAAAATATGGAGGGTATTGTTAAATCCTATAACAGTGTACTTAAGGCCGAAATCAGATGATGGTTACTGATAAATTTAAAGAACCTATTGTGATGCTGTTGTGATTGATACTTCTAACCTGATCTAACAATGATGCTGTCAGTCGTAATAGCTGTGTTGATAGATAGACACTAGACAGTGACTTGATTAAGTCACTGTCTAGTGTCTATCTATCAACACAGCTGAAGATAGTACTAAAGATAGTACTAAATGTCAGTGGATTCTCTTAAGTGAAAAATTATTTTAATGTCAAAGGAATTTTGCTTGTGTTACAGAAACTACCATGTGTTTTATTACCTGTTGGCTGGAGCGGATGAACAGGAACGAGAGTCCCTACATCTCAGGAAACCAGAGGAGTACCATTACCTCCGACAGGTACACTCACCTGTATATAGAGCCCATCATACTGCCACTGTATACTCTAAGGCTGTCTTTTCATTGTTAGAACTGATTGGTCACTTCATGAAAGATTACAGAATCTTCGGGAACCAGATTTGATTATTGTTACAACAGATCTATACACTATTTTACTTACTGGTGTAACTTAAAACATATAAAGAATCTAGATATATCATATTTTAGTTGTGTTTCAACAAATAACTCTGAGTTGTCCTGAATATAAGGGTGTACATTCAAACCCAGAGCAATACTGAACATAACGGTATACATTCAAACCCAGACCAATGCTGAACATAACGGTATACATTCAAACCTAGACCAATGCTGAACATAAGGGTATACATTCAAACTCAAAGCAATGCTGAACATAAGACTGTACATTCAAACTCAAAGCAATACTGAACATAAGGGTATACATTCAAACCCAGACCAGTGCTGAACATAAGGGTATACATTCAAACCCAGACCAGTGCTGAACATAAGGGTATACATTCAAACCCAGACCAGTGCTGAACATAAGGGTATACATTCAAACCCAGAGCAATGCTGAACATAAGGGTATACATTCAAACCCAGAGCAATACTGAACATAAGGGTATACATTCAAACTCAAAGCAATGCTGAACTTAAGGGTATACATTCAAACTCAAAGCAATGCTGAACATAAGGGTGTACATTCAAACTCAAAGCAATGCTGAACATAAGGGTATACATTCAAACTCAAAGCAATGCTGAACATAAGGGTATACATTCAAACTCAAAGCAATGCTGAACTTAAGGGTATACATTCAAACTCAAAGCAATGCTGAACATAAGGGTGTACATTCAAACTCAAAGCAATGCTGAACATAAGGGTATACATTCAAACTCAAAGCAATACTGAACATAAGGGTATACATTCAAACTCAAAGCAATGCTGAACATAAGGGTATACATTCAAACCCAGACCAGTGCTGAACATAAGGGTATACATTCAAACTCAAAGCAATGCTGAACATAAGGGTGTACATTCAAACAAAGCAATACTGAACATAAGGGTATACATTCAAACAAAGCAATACTGAACAATGTACTGCAATGCTGAACATAAGGGTATACATTCAAACTCAAAGCAATACTGAACATAAGGGTGTACATTCAAACTCAAAGCAATACTGAACATAAGGGTGTACATTCAAACTCAAAGCAATACTGAACATAAGGGTGTACATTCAAACTCAAAGCAATACTGAACATAAGGGTATACATTCAAACTCAAAGCAATACTGAACATAAGGGTATACATTCAAACTCAAAGCAATACTGAACATAAGGGTGTACATTCAAACCCAGACCAGTGCTGAACATAAGGGTATACATTCAAACCCAGACCAGTGCTGAACATAAGGGTATACATTCAAACTCAAAGCAATACTGAACATAAGGGTGTACATTCAAACCCAGACCAGTGCTGAACATAAGGGTGTACATTCAAACCCAGACCAGTGCTGAACATAAGGGTATACATTCAAACTCAAAGCAATACTGAACATAAGGGTATACATTCAAACTCAAAGCAATACTGAACATAAGGGCAATACTGAACATAAGGGTATACATTCAAACCCAGAGCAATACTGAACATAAGGGTATACATTCAAACTCAAAGCAATGCTGAACATAAGGGTATACATTCAAACTCAAAACAATACTGAACATAAGGGTATACATTCAAACCCAGACCAGTGCTGAACATAAGGGTGTACATTCAAACTCAAAGCAATACTGAACATAAGGGTGTACATTCAAACTCAAAACAATGCTGAACATAAGGGTGTATATTCCATCCCAGATGTATGCCAATATGGGTTTTTTACATGTAAGGTATAACAACTTCCATGACACCAGATTGTAGATGAGAATATACATGTTGGTATAGTGAAAAAGTCTCTGAGTTTAACCAACAACTTTAATTACAGTGTACTGTACTAGATATATCATTATCTGTTATCAGCAGTTTGATGTGTAGGTAGGGTGGAGATCATTGTTACTAAACTAACAAATGTATTATTCAGGAAACTGTATGAGGAAGCCCTGTATATAATTCTGAAATGATAAAACATAGGAAACCTGATCAGTTGTCAACAGACCACTTCACAGTGACAAAAGCATGCAGGGATGGATGTGTAGTGTTGTAGAAATGTGTAGTGAAATTTCTGGCAATCCTAGGTATCCTTTATAAAGTTTATACATTGAAGGCCCAGAGAAGATAAATGCTTTTGTGAAAAAGTTCATTAAAATTCAAATCAATAAGCATTCATCACTGTCCTTCCTTGTCAACCTTTTAATGTCTGTAAATATATTTACATGTCTATGTGTCCATATTTCTGTAGAGAAAAATTATTGCTTACAAATTATCACATAAGGTTTTCACTTATTCCAACAAACTTACACTTGACTTCTTCTGAAATAAAAAGTTGTTATACAAGATATTTCATGAACTCCAGGACAGATTTTCAAGCCATAACATCACACCACCAATTTCTACGCCTGGTTAGATTTTCATGGTCATCAGACAAGGTTAAAGGTCATAGATCACCTTCCCCGACCTGTTTAGATTTTGATGGTCATCAGACAAGGTTAAAGGTCATAGATCACCTTCCCCGACCTGTTTAGATTTTGATGGTCATCAGACAAGGTTAAAGGACATAGATCACCTTCCCCGACCACATGTTTTAATATAAAAGCTTGTGTACAAGATATCTCATTAACATCTCAGTAGATCAAGTTTAAGAAACAAAGATCAGTAAATGGGTGGTATATCTATGTTAGTCTTTGATCTCTTTGTTTTATTACACTATAACATGAAGTGATGTCCAAGTCTACAGTTTGTGGGATCACAAATTTCAGATATCTATGAAATGTCTTTGTATGAAGAATTGTACATTACATTGATTGTTTATGTTTGATGTTACTCTCAGTTCCTTCTGTGTTTGGTATAATTGGTCTATAAAACATTATTTCAGCACATACATATATATAACAACAGTATCTAAAATCTTCTATATTTCTATGTAAGTATAATACTAGCATTTCTCCCTTGTATGTTACAGAGTGGATGTTACCATACAGAAGGTGTGGATGAAGCTCATGAGTTTGCCAGGCTGAAGCAGTCACTTGAAATGGTGGGATTCTCTCACTTGACACAAAGAAGGTAAGTTACTTGACACAGCCGTGTGTGATATTTATTCAAAACAGTTTGTCTTTGTTAATCTGACTTGCCGAATCTAGGCCATATTTGGGTTATACATTCCTGTAGGTAATAACAAATCCAAATGGAGGGAAATAGAATAGATTAAGAAGTGTATATAATTAGAAAAAAAAATATGTTAAAACGTCCATCCCAAGAACTTTAAATACTACATTATGAAATGACCTGCTGCAAGCACTATTTTCTGTCTTTGTCTGTTGTCTGTCTGTTACACATTGGTTGCCTATTATGTCTACTTTTTAAAGTGTGAAAGGTGATGGTATATTTTAAAACAATATCCTCTTATTATTTGGTATATATGTAGATGTTTAATGATAAACATTATCGTCAACAAATATGATTCTTGTGATCATGAATGTAGGTCAAGGTCATTTCATTTCACAAACTTTAACCTTGGAGCAAATTATTATCAGAAATCAAATTTCTGACAACATGAGTTATTTTGAACCAAAATCTATTGCTTTCCAATATAAGCAGGGTAAACATATTTTACTTTTGTAAAACATTTGAGATATAAACTGTCTTCATCAATTATAGTAAAGAGATAGGTACCAGAAAACTGTTAGATGTTCTGATAAAGTCCTAAAATCAAACTAAAATTTCAGCAGGGATAAAGACCAATCATGTTTAAGGCTGTATGGAACACCTGCATTTTTCTGTCATGTCACTAAGTGTACAGTATTTCCAATATCAATTATGCTATTCTGAACAAAATATCCATTCTGCGTCATATGTTCAGGAAAGGAAAAAGTTAAGGTTGACGAGACAAAAACCTCTTCTGTTTGTGATCAAGTTTATAACGTAATATCATACCCAAACACTGATGGAACATTAATAGGACAATCTGTAGTTTCCATGATTGGTTTAGTTGAACTCATGGATTTCAGTTGTGTATTTTAAAATTACCATAATTTTTTTTCCTGTTACAGAATATTTTGTGTGTTGTCAGCAGTGCTACAGCTTGGAAATATGGAATTCAAAAAGGTGATACATGTGTATGTCAGACACAAAGTGAATGAAAACACTGGCATAATTTTTGAAGAATAGTATAGAGATTAGATTAATGTCTTGGTACATATGTTAATATTTTGAAAGATATGTAACTATATTGTGTTGATAAAATGGTTAGGTGATGTATATGTTATGACAGTAGGTGTACTGATTTCTAGTGTTTATATAATATATAATGTTATATACATATTATGTTGTGTTGATTGTAGAAAGGAGATCAGCACCATGATGAATCAGTTACCATTAAGGACGAAACAACAGTACAGATCATCTCTAGTTTACTAAAGGTAAAAAAGTTGTATACATCTCAAATTTACACTCAATAAAACCACTGTTACATCTATTTTGTGATATTACAACAGGGTGCACCCCCAAATCTGTCTTGTCATTAGGTTATCTACTAAAACAACAAGTGGGCTTATGTTGTGGTTCAGTGTATGGTGCCAACATTTCTCTATTAATGACTTTTTCTCAATGACCAATATCAAGGATACTGATAGTGGACATGTAGCATGCTTGGATGAAGGGCTACCGAGTTTCATTCAAATGAATGACTCACTTTCAAGGTCAGAGGGATCAAAAGTCTTGCAATCAACTTTCTCTCAATAACAAAGAGACTCAGGTTACCGATATTGAGCCTGTAGGATGCTGGGATGAAGGGCTACAAATTTATTCAAAAGTATTATTTTCACTCACTTTCAAGGCCATGGGTTAAACGCCTTGAAATTTTTCATCAACTTCCTCTCAATAACAAAGAGACCCATGGTGCTGATATTGGGCCTGTAGCAATGCTGAGATGAAGGCTACAGCAATTTAATTTGTTTAAGATGAATGACCTTAACCCATTTTCAAGGTCACTGGTGTCAAATGTAGTAAAATCATCCGAAGACTGTCTAGCCTGCCGGGATAAACGGCAACGAAATTTATTCAATTGAATGACCTTACTCCACTTTCAAGGTCTCAAGGGTCAAATATTATAAAATCTTTATGCTGCCCTTTTCCTGTTAACCTAGAGGTAGTTGATCATGGTATTTGTGTGGTTACATGAGTAAGAATTGGACTTTGTAGAAATCAGGTTGATTTACAAAGTTGTATTTAAGATACAGAACAGTAATGCGATACTGACCATCAGGCCTCTTGTTTAGTTTTGCCTGACACCATTTGTTATGTAAATTTCCATGTGTGCATAAGAAAAGGTGTAGTTGAACACAGAATTCAGAAGTTAGTTTATACAAGATTGAGGAAAGTATATATTTTCAAAGTTAATTCACTTATAGTTATAAACATGTTCTTTGTGGTGGCTGTTCAAGTCATATATTAAACAGTATGTAAAATTACATTGCTTTGTACCAGTGAGAGAAATAAAGTATGTGAAATTTAATTGTTTTGTACCAGTGGGAGAAATACAGTATGTAAAGTTACATTATTTTGCTCCAGTGAGAGAAGGATAACTTGAATGATAACAGTGATGTGGTTTAAGTAAGGGAGATACAATATGTAAAGTTATGTTGTTTTGTATCAGTGAAAGAAGGATTACCTTAATGATAACCTTGATGTGGTTTAGGGATAGGTATACAATACGTAAAATTATGTTGTTTTGTACCAGTGAAAGAAGGATTACCTTGATCTGTTTTAGGTGAAAGAGAAAACATTGACAGAAACTCTGACACAAAAGAAAACAACAGCAGGAGGGGAAACTGTGGTCATCAACTACAAAATGGTGGATGTAAGTTGGATGATTTGTTTCTTTTCAAAACTGGATTAACCTTCTCTTTGTATTTATATATGGTTAACTACTGAAAAATGAAGTAGGATGTTATGAATGGAAAAGTTAAGGATTTTACATAAATATATTATACATATAATAATTGTTGTGTTATTGTTTTGTATAGATAGATATTTTTGATACAGACACAAAGTTTTAATTATTAGATACTGCAAAGTTTATTATTTCCTTGAACACATTCTGTGGGTAAAACTTTGGGATTTTTAACACACACTACCAATCCGATGGAGTAAATAAGTATTCATCTTGAAATCTTTAAAGAATGTGGCGAAATGATTTACAGATTTCGTATTTTGTTTGACAGGCTCTAGCTAATAGAGATACCATGGCTAAGTGCCTATATGGTGCTCTGTTTGACTGGATTGTCCTTAAGGTGAATCAGGCCCTGCTAGCCAAGCGACACAACAGTGATCATCAGGTATCGACACACTTTTATTATGGAAAAAGAAAGTAGAAAGGTTGTGTTTAATCATAAACATTGAGTCATTAACGTTTCTTTCTTTGTGGGATCTGAAAGTGTAAGGTGTTATAGTTAGTAAGACTCCATAACATGTAGATTAAATGAATGAATTCTCAGAAAGTCAAGTCTTACAGCTGTAGTATAGGATAACTACTGTATGTTAATTTAAGATTTCCACATTTTTGTTTCAGGGAAATTCGATAGGTGTGTTGGATATATTTGGTTTTGAGGATTTCAAGAAGAACAGTTTTGAACAATTCTGTATTAACTATGCTAACGAGCACCTACAGTATTACTTCAATCAGCACATCTTTAAGTTTGAGCAGGTGAGATACACTTCAGGAGCCACTATACTGTGCCGCTGATGTTCTACTCAGACACATACATTGCAGCAAATATCTTAATGAACTTCATTTGCACAGTTTCTCCCTTCACGATTTTTTGACGCTAAAAATGTTGATTGATCATATTTTTTTGACAATCAATCTTGAAGAGTCATCAAATTTTATTGAACGTCAAAGATTTAACTAACAAAAATAGACAGAAATACAGTTGAGAGAGGTAACTTTCTATTTTATGTATTATGAGTGACTTAATATGTATTTGAATGTTTCACTCATCAAATCTTGTGGTTTACATTGAGCAAATTACAAATTACTTGCTAACCAATCACTAGATATACACTCAGATGGAGGTTTATTTGGTCAGTTGAAGTATAGAGTACTCTTTGGAGTTATTACTGATTTGAATAATGAATTGAATTATTACTTGTGAAGGTGTTGTGGCTCTAGTATTCATTGAGAGTAATTATAATTGCCACAAAGTCATTAAATGAGGAAAATGTGAACATTTAAAACTGGTGTAAAATTCAACATCACATGGAAACAGTAGTGATTGCCAGGTTGTCTTCATCATGAAGGATTTCCTTGTAATACAGTTTGTAACATTGTTTACCACAGGAGGAATACAAGAAGGAGGGGATCCAGTGGAAGAACATTGAGTTTATTGACAATACAGGCTGTCTGGAATTGTTTGCTAACAAGAGTAATGGTTTGTTGTGTCTCCTGGACGACGAATGCAAGTAAGTCCCATCAGGATGTGAAAGGCCACTGCAAATGTAAATGGAGTTACTGCCCTTTATTGATCTTGTTTTATCTGTGTCTTTTATGTATATCTCATGTGTTACTTAATGTTGTGAAATTTTGAATAAATTTCTTTAGATGTCTTATTAAAGTGTCCTATATAAAGTATTGTCTGACATTTGAGCTACCATTAAACCTCCTGTTTTGTCAGTTGATGTTATTATAATGATTAATGGTTTATTCAAACAGCTTTCCGGGTGCCACCAATGAGACACTTCTGGCAAATTTCAATCATCATCACAAAGGCCGACCGTACTATCAGGTTCCTCAGCTGAAGGAAGGGGCATTTGAGATCATGCACTACGCTGGCAAAGTCAAATACCAAGTAAAGGTATGACATTGCTTGATAGTTTGTGTTTAAAGTTTGGTAAGGTGACAAGTGCTTGATATCTGTTTGGTAAGGTGACAAGTGCTTGATATCTGTTTGGTAAGGTGACAAGTGCTTGATATCTGTTTGGTAAGATAACAAGTGCTTGATATCTGTTTGTTAAGGTGACAGGTGCTTGATATCTGTTTGGTAAGGTGACAAGTGCTTGATATCTGTTTGGTAAGGTGACAAGTGCTTGATATCTGTTTGGTAAGGTGACAAGTGATTGATATCTGTTTGGTAAGATAACAAGTGCTTGATATCTGTTTGTTAAGGTGACAGGTGCTTGATATCTGTTTGGTAAGGTGACAAGTGCTTGATATCTGTTTGGTAAGGTGACAAGTGATTGATATCTGTTTGGTAAGGTGACAGGTGCTTGATATCTGTTTGGTAAGGTGACAAGTGCTTGATATCTGTTTGGTAAGGTGACAGGTGCTTGATATCTGTTTGGTAAGGTGACAAGTGCTTGATATCTGTTTGGTAAGGTGACAGGTGCTTGATATCTGTTTGGTAAGGTGACAAGTGCTTGATATCTGTTTGGTAAGGTGACAAGTGCTTGATATCTGTTTGGTAAGGTGACAAGTGATTGATATCTGTTTGGTAAGGTGACAGGTGCTTGATATCTGTTTGGTAAGGTGACAAGTGCTTGATATCTGTTTGGTAAGGTGACAAGTGCTTGATATCTGTTTGGTAAGGTGACAAGTGATTGATATCTGTTTGGTAAGGTGACAGGTGCTTGATATCTGTTTGGTAAGGTGACAAGTGCTTGATATCTGTTTGGTAAGGTGACAGGTGCTTGATATCTGTTTGGTAAGGTGACAAGTGCTTGATATCTGTTTGGTAAGGTGACAGGTGCTTGATATCTGTTTGGTAAGGTGACAAGTGCTTGATATCTGTTTGGTAAGGTGACAGGTGCTTGATATCTGTTTGGTAAGGTGACAAGTGCTTGATATCTGTTTGGTAAGGTGACAGGTGCTTGATATCTGTTTGGTAAGGTGACAAGTGCTTGATATCTGTTTGGTAAGGTGACAAGTGCTTGATATCTGTTTGGTAAGGTGACAAGTGATTGATATCTGTTTGGTAAGGTGACAGGTGCTTGATATCTGTTTGGTAAGGTGACAAGTGCTTGATATCTGTTTGGTAAGGTGACAGGTGCTTGATATCTGTTTGGTAAGGTGACAAGTGCTTGATATCTGTTTGGTAAGGTGACAGGTGCTTGATATCTGTTTGGTAAGGTGACAAGTGCTTGATATCTGTTTGGTAAGGTGACAAGTGATTGATATCTGTTTGGTAAGGTGACAGGTGCTTGATATCTGTTTGGTAAGGTGACAAGTGCTTGATATCTGTTTGGTAAGGTGACAGGTGCTTGATATCTGTTTGGTAAGGTGACAAGTGCTTGATATCTGTTTGGTAAGGTGACAGGTGCTTGATATCTGTTTGGTAAGGTGACAAGTGATTGATATCTGTTTGGTAAGGTGACAAGTGCTTGATATCTGTTTGGTAAGGTGACAGGTGCTTGATATCTGTTTGGTAAGGTGACAGGTGCTTGATATCTGTTTGGTAAGATAACAGGTGCTTGCTATCTGTTTGGTACTGTCCTTTAAGTACAATCAGCCATCCTAGAAAAATTTGTCACAAAAAGCAGATTTAAAAGCATTGTTAATTCACCATCTTAAATAAAAGATAAATACATAAAGACATATACTTTATTTAATTCTTAAGAACTTTTTGTTCACTCTACAGGATTTCAGAGAGAAAAATGGTGACCAGATTAGAATGGACATTGTCAGTGTCCTGAAGAGTAGTAACCTCACATTTGTCAGGGAACTGATGGGTAAGTCAGTGTACTGAAGAGAAGTAACTTAAATTTGTCAGGGAACTGATGGGTATGTCAGTGTACTGAAGAGAAGTAACTTAAATTTGTCAGGGAACTGATGGGTATGTCAGTGTACTGAAGAGAAGTAACTTAAATTTGTCAGAGAACTGATGGGTATGTCAGTGTACTGGATAGTAGTAACGTCACATTTGTCAGGGAACTGATGGGTAAGTCACTGTACTGGATAGTAGTAACTTAAATTTGTCAGAGAACCGATGGGTAAGTCACTGTACTGGATAGTAGTAACGTCACATTTGTTAGAGAACTGATGGATGATTGTTGCATGATTTAAATGAAAGTTACTTTAAAAATGTCCGCTATGTATGAAGTGAAAAGATTTGGGGAAAAAAATACTGTGTTGTTAAGCCATGCTTTTTCTTTCTGAATCACAATACCTGTGTTTATTGTAGGAATTGACCCAGTGGCTGTGCTGAGATGGTCTATAGTGAAGACCCTCGTCAAAAGTGTGTTTGCCTTTATCGCAGAAGGCAAAAAATTCAGAAGCAGGGGAGGTAAGTGTTACATGACTCGTATGAAAATTATTTTGATGATGCCAGCAATGTATGAACAAAAATAAAGATTGAAAAGTTGTCCCAAGTATGAAAAATGTAAACAAAACACCAACAAGAAATGTGTCTGGCTTATTTTCAGAATTAGTCATCTTTACATTTTTATAAAGCCTCATGATTCTACTGAAATGTATTTTCTGTGAAATCACTTATCAAAACAAGGGTACATTTTCTTGATATTTGCAAATATTCCTGAATTTATACTATTTTGATGAGTTAGAGTATGTTCATTTGTTAAAAAAGAATAATGATAAAAGTAAATAAATTATGTTCACCAGTTTACAACGTTTGTATTGTAGTAATTTCAGCTACAGAATCATTAAAGCTGATGATTAATATTGTTATCACTTCACAGTTGAAATTGCTTGGCTTAGCTATTTTTTAATCTGTTCTTGGAGAATAGGAATAAGATTAGATTATGTTTGTATATAAATATCTTCAGTATTAAACAATAATAAACAAAGAACTTTTCCAAAGTAGACCTGATTTGCTTGAGATATTGGATGAAGTGGCCTGTTTTTTGGGAGGAACTGCCTCTACATACACAAAATTCAGCATTTTCATTTTTCTTTACACTGATTTTACTTGGTGATGAATTTGCTTTGGTGTAACAAAGTGTGTTTGTCTATGTAGGCCAGAAATCCAGTGCATCTATGAAGAATCGGCGCCACTCCGACTACATAATGCCAGAAGCCTTGGCTGCCAGTGAAAACCTTCTCAAGTATGTTTTTCTTTGGTATTCCCTTACATATACCCAATCAGATCTTGTATTTAAAGATGGCTTCACTTTTGTACAAATAATTATGAGAATTTCCTTTTTCATCCACCTCTGCATATCTTTTATTTATCTATCCTTGTCGCTATGGAAGTTCTGTGAATCCATCCGTAATATCCTGAAATCAAACACTTCTGTGGCCTGTGTGCTTTGCTACCTTAGTTCACATCATTGATATCTGATTTACTTTCTATAGTTAGTCTGGAGCATTTCTGATTCACTGTTAAAAAAACTTTGATCATTTACTGGCAAATTTCACACTAATGCCGAAGTTGAGCTTCTTTTCTTGCAGTTGAGTTTAAAGTTAAACTTTGAAATAAAAAAATAAAATTTCATTTGTGAAAATGTTTGACTTATGTGTTTACCTGCATATCAGAAATGCTTCAGAATTGACACATTCACTGTGCACTGTTAGGTGACGCTGGATGTCAGTGCTTGTCTCAGTACATTTAGCTCGATGTTCTAAAGTCAAATTGATCATCTCAAATCCTACGCTTAATTTACCTATTTTACCTGATTTATCAAGTGAGTTTTCTTCTGATGTTACACGATAGAAAAGAATCGCTCAGTATGTTAGCTATGTAAATCTTGAAAGAACCGAAAAATGTAATTCTATAAGAACAGAACTTGGAGATTTTTGAATTCACATTTTTATTTGAAATAGTGTTTATCAGTAGTTTTTATAGATGAGAAAATGTATGCATAAACTAAAATATGAAAAGTAAGAGGTGATTAAAAGAATGATGAGAGTAGTTGTAATATATCATTCCCTTAGGAAGTGGATGTACATTCGAAAATAGTCGTCAACTGGAGTAGTTATCCATATTCCTTTAGTTAGTGGATGTACATTGGAGACGTAAATTGAAGTAGCATTTTTTATTTCACAAGCTTGTTAAGTTCATGTCCTCTTTTTGTTTTAAGATTCTACACAATTGCTAGGACGATGAAAGTGTTAAGGAAAATTCAGTAAGCCTGCTCTCTGTTTAGAAAGCTTGTGATTTGGACAGATATGGAGCATGATATTTTATGCTGTTAAATGGTGTTGCCTGGCTCTTGTTCAGCAGCATATGATATCTTTTTAAATATATCTGGTTGTTGTTTTTGTTTTTTTTTTCTTAATAGTTTTTTAATATGAATGAATTTCAATTTAATAGTTCTTGTCGTGATCTTTTGTGTGTTCTCTTGTAATATAATAATTTCATTTTTTTGCATCCAAGGCACTAAATTCAAATCTTTTTGGAATACTTCAAACCTCATGTTTAGTGTTTGTTTTTTTTTTATTTTTTACTTTTAATTATCATTATTTTGCAGTAATCTTAGTGCCAGGTTTATGTACAGTAAAACTCTACTTATTCAAACTTGTATTGCTCATCAAACTGGTCAATTAGTCCCGACTGTATCCTTAAATATCTAGTTTACTCTCAGATTCTTTGAGTCGTTATTCCTCAAATTACCCCGCATTCCTGGAACTATTTTACGGAATGGCACATACTAACGGGTAGAACATGGTGATTAAGTAAAGACTATTTACTTGGTATATTTGTTTATCAGTTGTTTAAATGGATTGGGTTGATAACACATTGGTTTCATGTAAGTATAGGTACACACAGATATGTTTATGTCAAGATAGTTCCCACTTTTACTGTTATTGGATCAAGTTAACCTACTTATAGCTGAAAAGTTTTCAAGTATGCTGCTTTTCCTTGTGATATGATGACTATATATTGATTATTCAACAATATTATATTTTATGCTGAAAGTTCTTTTTTACATATGCTAAGTGTTAGAAACCGTCATCCTTAGTGACATGCTTTCTGTGTTATATTGAAAATACTGCAGTAAGCAGATATGCTACTGTAATGCTGTGAATTTGTGGGTTTTTTTTTACATTTCTCAAGTTAAAATTTTAGACAAATCAAAATAATAAGTTAATCCAAAACTTATTAGAAAGAATAGTTATAACTTTGAATGGTCAATGGTGTATTGGATAAATCATTTACTGACACAGTTTGTTGGTACCTGAGGATTTATAACCAACCTCTGGTTCTCGAATACCCCGTATTCCCAAACTATTGACATGGTACGGAGAAGTTCGACTTTGCAGAGTTTTACTGTAATTGTTTTCATGTAAAATGATGACAATGAAACAGATTAGATTTTTATTGGAATGGAAAGCAATCCTATAAGCTTATCTGTAGTCGCTTATATCATATTCAGACATAAGCAGGCCAAAGTGATACTCTGAATGCACTTTTTGGTAACATTTGAAACACTTTGAATTTGAAGATTCCTCACATTAACTTCACTTCCAAATCTTGAAATTTTTTGTTGTATCAATCTCTATGACTATCAATAGAACATCTCTAGTAAGGTCTTTTTCCAGGTGGTTAAGTATGATGCTGAACAAACATAGAATATATTTCAGATATAAGGGCAGTAGTTAATGTAAAACCAGACTAGTTATCAGTAATTATAGGGGGCATTGTAATTGATGCAATATTGGATCACAATATGTCACACACTGCAATCAGTATTTCCTTGTGAATCTTAACCAAACCTTTGTAATGGAATGATGGTAGACTAGCCACATCAACACTCTCGTTTTGGTATTCTGCCACATACTTCTCTTTTAATGAACCTTTCCCAATGTTTCTTGATCCAACTGCTTTTGAAACGAGAGTGTTGATATTTTACTTTTCTGCTTTTGTAATATACTCACAGCATAATCTCCCTTTGTCTCTTACATTTCCTGTTAGTGTCCACAGTGAGAGTTACCACCGTCACCAAGCCTTCTCTGGGCAGCGGTCTCTTTCCCCCCTGCATGAACACCAATATTTTGCATGTACTGTTGACACATTTGAGGATGGATGTTCTGATGATGATGCTGACGATGACATCTTCATCCGATCTTTGGATTATGTCACTGATGAAAAAGGCGACCTTGTCTTGACGAGTCCTGTGGAACTTTACTTACCTGAATCTGCCAAACTCATCCGCCGCTCAACAAAAATCATTCTGTATGTTTTAACCCACACTGTCAAAAAATGGGATGGTTTCCTAAAAATGTACTTTCACACGTGTGTGTATTAGATGGCTATTTTCTTATAGACATAAGGCATATAGAAGTAAGTAAGAATCTCTATACTAAAACTTGCTGCATATATTCACAATTTCCGCACTCTCATAAAGTCTGTCTTAGCTTGAAAGGATGTCTATACACTTATATAGATTCATATCAAGAATTACATATTCAAGAAATAATTATTTTATTTCAGTTACATGTAGTTAAAATTCTCATCATTTTCAAAACTGAATTTAGTACAGATTTTTTTATTATAGATGTGTAAATGCTTCAGTTACATTATCTTTTTACTCCAAGGTCAAGTGTGTTTTGTTGTTGGGGTTCAGCATAGGTTTCTGTTTAGATTTTGATATGAAGACTTTTAATTTAGAACTCATTAACACAAATATTAAAAGAAAATAAAACATCATGGGGAATGATAAGGGAGAAGTTGGTAGGGGAGAAGTAAATTGAAGCGAGGTGGATAAGGGAGTGGTAGATGGGACAGTGGTAGATTGGGGAGTGCTTGATAGGACAGAAATAGATAGGACAGAAGGGAGTTGTTGATAGGGGAAGGGGCCATAAAGGTGTGGTAGAGAGGGGAACGGTAGATAGGAGAGGTTGATAAAGGAATGGTAAAAAAGGAAGTGGAAGAATAGGGGAGTAGTAGACAGAGGAGTGATAAATAAGGGATTTGTAAATAGGAGAGGATGTCAATCCAGCAATCTGTCAGTGAGCTAAGTTGCCCAGAGTAAAAGATTATTGTCTTTTCTAATTGTTATGAAATGATCTGTACACAGGAAAGGTAAATGCTTGCATTTTGTTCTTTCTTTTAATGATTTCTTTAGAAGTTATGCCCTTTTTATGTTAATGCTTATACAGATTCACAGTTTCAGTTTCCACTACTTTTGAATTTACACACGTACATGAAACTCTTGCAAAATAAATTAGATTTCATACAAATTTTTAACAGCAATATGAATTATGTTATTATTTCATGGTATTGTTTAGTTTATAAAACCAACAGTGTATATCTATCAGTATCCACATAAGATATACCATCTGTATGACATCTATGCTGACCTTCTACAACTCTCATGAAAATATAGTCTAGCATGCCTTTACAATTTTAGAAATCTCAATTTTGTTTGTTTTTCAGTAGAAGCATTGTAGAAATTTTTGATTGGTCAATGTGTTTAGTTGCATGGACTCTCAGAATTGTGAGAGTTGTTCCTGAGACAGCTTGTGTTTATGATATTTACCATTCATGACAATCACCTGTGTTTGTGGTATTTACCATTGATGACAATCACCTGTGTTTGTGGTATTTACCATTCATGACAATCACCTGTGTTTGTTTGTGTTATTTACCTTCTATGACAATCACCTGTGTTTGTTTGTGGTATTTACCATTCATGACAATCACCTGTGTTTGTGGTATTTACCATTCATGACAATCACCTGTGTTTGTGGTATTTACCATTCATGACAATCACCTGTGTTTGTGGTATTTACCATTCATGACAATCACCTGTGTTTGTGGTATTTACCATTCATGACAATCACCTGTGTTTGTGGTATTTACCATTCATGACAATCACCTGTGTTTGTGGTATATACCATTCATTACAATCACCTGTGTTTGTGGTATTTACCATTCATTACAATCACCTGTGTTTGTGTTATTTACCATTCATGACAATCACCTGTGTTTGTGGTATTTACCATTCATGACAATCACCTGTGTTTGTGTTATTTACCATTCATGACAATCACCTGTGTTTGTTTGTGTTATTTACCATTCATGACAATCACATGTGTTTGTGGTATTTACCATTCATGACAATCACCTGTGTTTGTTTGTGTTATTTACCATTCATGACAATCACATGTGTTTGTGGTATTCACCATTCATGACAATCACCTGTGTTTATGATATTTACCATTCATGACAATCTCCTGTGTTTGTGGTATTTACCATTGATGACAGTCACCTGTGTTTGTGGTATTTACCATTCATGACAATCACCTGTGTTTGTGGTATTTACCATTCATGATAGTCACCTGTGTTTGTGGTATTTACCATTCATGACAATCACCTGTGTTTGTGGTATTTACCATTCATGACAATCACCTGTGTTTGTGGTATTTACCATTCATGACAATCACCTGTGTTTGTGGTATTTACCATTCATGACAATCACCTGTGTTTGTGGTATTTACCATTCATGACAATCACCTGTGTTTGTGGTATTTACCATTCATGACAATCACCTGTGTTTGTGGTATTTACCATTCATGATAGTCACCTGTGTTTGTGGTATTTACCATTCATGACAATCACCTGTGTTTGTGGAATTTACCATTCATGATAGTCACCTGTGTTTGTGGTATTTACCATTCATGACAATCACCTGTGTTTGTGGTATTTACCATTCATGACAATCACCTTTGTTTGTTTGTGGTATTTACCATTGATGACAATCACCTGTGTTTGTGGTATTTACTATTGGTGACAATCACCTGTGTTTGTGGTATTTACCATTCATGACAATCACCTGTGTTTGTGGTATTTACCATTCATGACAATCACCTGTGTTTGTGGTATTTACCATTCATGACAATCACCTGTGTTTGTGGTATTGACCATTCATGACAATCACCTGTGTTTGTGGTATTTTCCATTCATGACAATCACCTGTGTTTGTGGTATTTACCATTCATGACAATCACCTGTGTTTGTGGTATTTACCATTCATGACAATCACCTGTGTTTGTGGTATTTACCATTCATGACAATCACCTGTGTTTGTGGTATTTACCATTCATGACAATCACCTGTGTTTGTGGTATTTACCATTCATGACAATCATGTGTGTTTGTTTGTGGTATTTACCATTCATGACAATCACCTGTGTTTGTGGTATTTACCATTCATGACAATCACCTGTGTTTGTGGTATTTACCATTCATGACAATCACCTGTGTTTGTGGTATTTACCATTCATGACAATCACCTGTGTTTGTGGTATTTACCATTCATGACAATCACCTGTGTTTGTGGTATTTACCATTCATGACAATCACCTGTGTTTGTGGTATTTACCATTGATGTCAATTACCTGTGTTTGTGATATTTACCATTCATGACAATCACCTGTGTTTGTGGTATTTACCATTCATGACAATCACCTGTGTTTGTGGTATTTACCATTCATGACAATCACCTGTGTTTGTGGTATTTACCATTCATGACAATCACCTGTGTTTGTGGTATTGACCATTCATGACAATCACCTGTGTTTGTGGTATTTTCCATTCATGACAATCACCTGTGTTTGTGGTATTTACCATTCATGACAATCACCTGTGTTTGTGGTATTTACCATTCATGACAATCACCTGTGTTTGTGGTATTTACCATTCATGACAATCACCTGTGTTTGTGGTATTTACCATTCATGACAATCACCTGTGTCACCTGTGTTTGTGTTATTTACCATTCATGACAATCACCTGTGTTTGTGGTATTTACCATTCATGACAATCACCTGTGTTTGTGGTATTTACCATTCATGACAATCACCTGTGTTTGTGGTATTTACCATTCATGACAATCACCTGTGTTTGTGGTATTTACCATTCATGACAATCACCTGTGTTTGTGGTATTTACCATTCATGACAATCACCTGTGTTTGTGGTATTTACCATTCATGACAATCACCTGTATTTGTGGTATTTACCATTCATGACAATCACCTGTGTTTGTGTCATTTACCATTCATGACAATCACCTGTGTTTGTGGTATTGACCATTCATGACAATCACCTGTGTTTGTGGTATTGACCATTCATGACAATCACCTGTGTTTGTGGTATTTACCATTCATGACAATCACCTGTGTTTGTGTCATTTACCATTCATGACAATCACCTGTATTTGTGGTATTTACCATTCATGACAATCACCTGTGTTTGTGGTATTTACCATTCATGACAATCACCTGTGTTTGTGGTATTTACCATTCATGACAATCACCTGTGTTTGTGGTATTTACCATTCATGACAATCACCTTTGTTTGTTTGTGGTATTTACCATTCATGACAATCACCTGTGTTTGTGGTATTTACCATTCATGACAATCACCTGTATTTGTGGTATTGACCATTCATGACAATCACCTGTGTTTGTGGTATTTACCATTCATGACAATCACCTGTGTTTGTGGTATTGACCATTCATGACAATCACCTGTGTTTGTGGTATTTACCATTCATGACAATCACCTGTGTTTGTGTTATTTACCATTCATGACAATCATGTGTGTTTGTGTTATTTACCATTCATGACAATCATGTGTGTTTGTGGTATTTACCATTCATGACAATCATGTGTGTTTGTGGTATTTACCATTCATGACAATCACCTGTGTTTGTGGTATTTACCATTCATGACAATCACCTGTGTTTGTGGTATTTACCATTCATGACAATCACCTGTGTTTGTGGTATTTACCATTCATGACAATCATGTGTGTTTGCTTATGATGTCCATATCTTATCATGACATTTATCTTACTTGCTTTTGATATTTCTGACATGAACAAGTTGATACAAAAGTATGAGTAAAGTCATGTGATATGTGATCACTACATGATGCTGTTTGTGTGAGGTAATGCTTGACTGAAGAAATAACCTGATACCAAGTGGAGAAAGGAAGTATTAATAAATATTGTCATGCCCAACTTTGAGGAAGTGGCCATAGAATTAGGAATGAAGTATTAAGTATTTCTCTGTGTGAAATTTTCACTAAATAAAGCTATCAGTTTAACTGTCTACAGATCTGATAGTTAGGTCCATAGGTCAGCTATAAACTCTAACTTAGATATGGTAATCTTTAAAAGCATCATGCTTTCTGCAAGTCTTGATGTTGTAGTGGATTAAGTATGAGTGGTGTCATTCTGATTTTCGTTACTTTCAGAACAATGAACTGTATTAACAATAATTGGAAATATTTTCATTAGAATGTGAATATATTATATTTTGATATGTTGGTATTTCAGGAAAAACAAGTCATTCCGGCCAAAGCCCAAACCACCTACAGTAAGTTGATAATAATCACCTGTGTATGTATATTTATGTTCATTGGCAAGATGCTTGTTGATGATGGAAAGAAGTACATTATATATATGTTGGTTTCCATAGAAGTAGATTTCTAAGTAAATTTTTGCTATGATTAAACTGAGCAAGTGTTGTGTTAAGTGATCTGTAGTGTTAGATATTTTGGACAGCTGTTAGTAAACCTGATGGTTTTGTTGTTGTTGTTGTTATACTTGTTCTTATTTGAAAATGTGACATTACATAATTGGATTGACTTAGATTTACATTTCCAGTGTCTTTCTTTAACAGACAATGCTTACCCTTCTTGAACACCTGGTCTTCTTTTGTTTTTTCTGAGGTCTTTTCATAAATCCTTTCTTTTTTCTTGTTTTGTCTGTGTGTTAATGAGTTTTGAGTGTGGATAACTTGTTGCTTCTGAATGAGTGACTTATTTGAAGGGCTGGAAGGAGTTTCCTTTGTACTGTTAAGGTTTCTGTAAAGTTTTAATTAACCATGCAGATTTGTGATACTTTGAGAATATTTTGGTACAGATGCTGAGGGACATAAAGACACTGAAGCAGATAGCCAATCGTACTATCTATGGGCGAGGCAGCAGGGACGGCAATAGAAAAGCGATGGCTAGTGTCAGCGCTCAGTTTACGGTCAGTTCAAGACATGTGCTAAAACTCATGTGTCCTATGATTTATAAACAGTTGCTGCTTCATTTTTTCTGATTATTTTCAAAATAATAGCTTTCAGTCTGAAGTATAGCAGTTAATCTATATATTTGAACTATTCTGTAGAGATGATTACGTTTGGTCTAGGAAATGATCCAATTCTTACCCTTTACAAATCATATTGATGGTAAATTTTGTTTCACACTATATATATACTCTCAAGGAAGAAAAGTCAAGGAAAAAAACAATTTTCCATGCTGCTAAGAAATGTTGGAATAAAGTACAAATGTGAAATAGAAATAGAATTTTAAACCATAGAGACTCTATATTATTGCCTGTAATAATGACTGAATCCTTATTTCAGTGGTCTTTACATCGTCTGATGGCTACGCTGAACCAGGCAAATCCGTTCTTTATCCGGTGTATAAAGTCAAACCCAGACAAGGTAATAGCATGTATTTTACAAAGCTTTTTAAGTTTAGTAAAGGAAGGAAAGAGCAGACTAGTGGTTATAGTAAAATTTATTATAAAGTTTAAATTTTATTCTGATACTTCTGAATTGGTGTCTGGAAACACTAAGTAGTCTGTGTATATGAGATATGAATCTTATATTTCTTGGAATACAAAACTGGTAGATTTCTGCAGTGAATATTGTTTTGAAGGCACTTAAGTAGTGATATTTAATTACATTTAATATTATGCAACCAGTACCTCTATAATTTTTTCTTTTTGAGGAGATGGGTGTGAGGGGATTGTTGTACTAGACATACTAACCATGTTTTACTTCCAGGCACCCTGTGTGTTTGATGATGCCATGGTACTACGACAGCTCAGGTACACTGGAATGTTAGCTACTGTAAAGATCAGACAGTCTGGATACAATTACAGGCTCACATTTGATGTAAGTGTAGACTATCTTGCTAGAAAGCAAATATAGGCAGTCCCAACTATAACACAAGCACAGACAGTCCCAACTATAACATAAGCACAGACAGCCCCAACTATAACACAAGCACAGACAGTCCCAACTATAACACAAGCACAGACAGTCCCAACTATAACACAAGCACAGACAGTCCCAACTATAACACAAGCACAGACAGCCCCAACTATAACACAAGCACAGACAGTCCCAACTATAACACAAGCACAGACAGCCCCAACTATAACACAAGCACAGACAGTCCCAACTATAACACAAGCACAGACAGTCCCAACTATAACACAAGCACAGACAGTCCCAACTATAACACAAGCACAGACAGCCCCAACTATAACACAAGCACAGACAGTCCCAACTATAACACAAGCACAGACAGTCCCAACTATAACACAAGCACAGACAGTCCCAACTATAACACAAGCACAGACAGTCCCAACTATAACACAAGCACAGTCAGTCCCAACTATAACACAAGCACAGACAGTAACACACAAGCACAGACAGTCCCAACTATAACACAACAGTCCCAAATATAACAGACAGTCCCAACTATAACACAAGCACAGACAGTCCCAACTATAACACAAGCACAGACAGTCCCAACTGTAATATAACACAAGCACAGACAGTCCCAAATATAACATAAGTACAGTCAGTCCCAATTATAACACAAGCACAGACAGTCCCAACTATAACACAAGCACAGACAGTCCCAACTGTAATATAAGCACAGACAGTCCCAAATATAACATAAGTACAGTCAGTCCCAATTATAACACAAGCACAGACAGTCCCAACTATAACACAAGCACAGACAGTCCCAACTATAACATAAGCACAGACAGTCCCAACTATAACACAAGCACAGACAGTCCCAACTATAACATAAGCACAGACAGTCCCAACTATAACACAAGCACAGACAGTCCCAACTGTAATATAAGCACAGACAGTCCCAAATATAACATAAGTACAGTCAGTCCTACATTCAACCAAAGTACAGACAATCTCACTTGTAACACCACCATGTATAGGACTTCCTACCTGTAATAGGCAGTCCCACCACCATGTATAGGACTTCCTACCTGTAATAGGCAGTCCCACCACCATGTATAGGACTTCTTACCTGTAATAGGCAGTCCCACCACCATGTATAGGACTTCTTACCTGTAATAGGCAGTCCCACCACCATGTATAGGACTTCTTACCTGTAATAGGCAGTCCCACCACCATGTATAACACAAGTAATGTTTGTATGAAGAGTTACAGGCTATTTAGACTATAGCATGAAGAACATGAAGTATTTAGGCACTCCAGAACTTTTAATTTAGTATAGGTAATTATGAGTCATCAGCCTATTTTCAATCAGTAGAAATATTAAATATGCAAAAGGATAGATGAAATTTCAGTATACATTCTTTTACTAATACTGAATGTATATTTTTGAACTACAGGAATTCATCCAGATGTATAAAATATTATTGCCAAAAGGCCTGCTTAGTTCCAAGGAAGATGTGAAGGCTTTTCTGGAAGACAGACATCTGAACAGTGAACACTACCAAATAGGCATTACTAAGGTGAGTTTAAAGTACAGGGTAAATATTGATGACATAGTATATGGTAAATATTGATGACATAGGATAGGGTAAATATTGATGACATAGTATAGGGTAAATATTGATGACATAGTATATGGTAAACATTGATGACATAGTATACGGTAAACATTGGTGACATAGTATACGGTAAATATTGATGACATAGTATACGGTAAATATTGATGACATAGTATACGGTAAATATTGATGGCATAGTATACGGTAAATATTGATGACATAGTATACGGTAAATATTGATGACACAGTATAGGGTAAATATTGATGACACAGTATACGGTAAATATTGATGGCATAGTATAGGGTAAATATTGATGACATAGTATACGGTAAACATTGATGACATAGTATACGGTAAATATTGATGAAATAATAATATTGAATGAATAACCAAAAATTGACAAGACATTTTGTTATTTGTTTATTGAAGAAATAGCACTATGGGAGGAGTCGCTGAAACATTTCATTTATTTAACAAGAAAAAAATTGCATATTCGTTTTTTTCATACAGGTGTTTTTGCGAGAGAGTGAGAAGATGAGGTTGGATGAGACGCTTCATGGGGCAATCATGCAGCGTGTGGTGAAAATACAGAGGTGGTTCAAAACCATCCTGGAGCGACAGACATTCCTAAAGATGAGGGCGGCATGTATTGTTATACAGGTAGGTAGTGATGTTTTCATATAAGTAGATACAAAGTAATTTCACAGATACAAGATAAATCCTTGTCTAAGTGAATGTATCTTATCATGATTATGGTCTGTGCTTCTATGTAAATATCATTGGAAACAAATGTCAAAGAAAGAGTAATTAGAAGAACTATGGAATACAAGAGGAAATAATTATGTTGCAGAGTTATAAAGTGTAATGTAACAGTTAATAAAGAAATGTTACATATCAAATGTCTGGTCATGAGTGTAAAAATCTAAAACATCAGAGTGTAAAAATCTAAAACATCAGAGTGTAAAAATCTAAAACATCAGAGTGTAAAAATCTAAAACATCAGAGTGTAAAAAATTATGTTCAGAGTTAAAAATCATCAGAGTGTAAAAATCTAAAACATCAGAGTGTAAAAATCTAAAACATCAGAGTGTAAAAATCTAAAACATCAGAGTGTAAAAATCTAAAACATCAGAGTGTAAAAATCTAAAACATCAGAGTGTAAAAATCTAAAACATCAGAGTGTAAAAATCTAAAACATCAGAGTGTAAAAATCTAAAACATCAGAGTGTAAAAATCTAAAACATCAGAGTGTAAAAATCTAAAACATCAGAGTGTAAAAATCTAAAACATCAGAGTGTAAAAATCTAAAACATCAGAGTGTAAAAATCTAAAACATCAGAGTGTAAAAATCTAAAACATCAGGGAGAAATGGATTGATGGATATTTATTAGTATTGCTATTATTTTGCCTTGGTGGTTTCTTTTCTTATAAACTGTAATATTACAATATGTACTTGTAAATAGACAACATGATAACTAGACCTACTTCTCTGTTTCTCCAATGTTTTGATCACTATCTTATTTTACTATTTATTTGTGGAGCATCCATTAATTGAATTATTCAATTCCCAGATCTGTTCCCGCCGGTTCATTGCTCTGAGGCGGTTGAGACGGATACGTCTGGAAAAAGAGGCAGCAATTGTCATACAGAAATGTTATAGATGCTGGCAAGAGAGACGACGCTACCTCATCATTGTCCATAGTATAACTGTGATACAGAGCCTGGCGAGGGCATTCACGGCCAGGAAGCAGTATGTCCTTAGCATATTTTATGTCTAAAAACATTTTATCCATATATGGTACTTTATGCATTTATAGGTCCTACCTAGCGAGGAAGCATACCTGATACATTTATAGGTCCTACCTAGCGAGGAAGCATACCTGATACATTTATAGGTCCTACCTAGCGAGGAAGCATACCTGATACATTTATAGGTCCTACCTAGCGAGGAAGCATACCTGATACATTTATAGGTCCTACCTAGCGAGGAAGCATACCTGATACATTTATAGGTCCTACCTAGCTATCTATCATACCTGATACATTTATAGGTCCTACCTAGCTATCTATCATACCTGATACATTTATAGGTCCTACCTAGCTATCTATCATTTATAGGTCCTACCTAGCTATCTATCATACCTGATACATTTATAGGTCCTACCTAGCTATCTATCATACCTGATACATTTATAGGTCCTACCTAGCGAGGAAGCATACCTGATACATTTATAGGTCCTACCTAGCTATCTATCATACCTGATACATTTATAGGTCCTACCTAGCCATCTACCATACCTGATACATTTATAGGTCCTACCTAGCGAGGAAGCATACCTGATACATCTATAGGTCCTACCTAGTGAGGCAGCATACCTGATACATTTATAGGTCCTACCTAGCGAGGCAGCATACCTGATACATTTATAGGTCCTACCTAGCGAGGAAGCATACCTGATACATTTATAGGTCCTACCTAGCTATCTATCATACCTGATACATTTATAGGTCCTACCTAGCGAGGAAGCATACCTGATACATTTATAGGTCCTACCTAGCTATCTATCATACCTGATACATTTATAGGTCCTACCTAGCCATATACCATACCTGTATATTTATAGGTCCTACCTAGCCATATACCATACCTGTACATTTATAGGTCCTACCTAGCCATATACCATATTGGTACTAAATGATACCAACATTTATAGGTCTGTATCATTTATAGGTCCTACCTAGGTAACATACCTGACATTTATAGGTCCTATCCAGTGACTGAACAGCCAAAACCACCATACCTACATTTATAGGTCCTACCTAGCCATCTAAGGGTCCTTGAAAGTAAAAGTTGCATACTAATTATTATTGTTCATGTTCCGTTATTTTCAACAATGTCAGAAAAAAGGTAAGATTTTACATAGAAGAGGTCGTTTGAAACTGATTTCTCTGACATGAGGAAGTTCATGTTTTATCTGGTATGGTTTAGGTATAAAAAGCTGCTGGCTGATGCAGAGTTGAGACGTCGAGAGGAAGAGGAAAAATTGAAAAAGAAGCAACAGGAAGACTTACACTCCTCAAACAGTGACGAGGGCATTCTTACAAAAGGCTCAAGTGCAGAAGAGTTGGATGAGAAAGACTACCCAACTATACAGCTACAAAGTCGTGACTCAGATGAGTAGGTTCACAATCTACATTTAGTCAAGGGTTAGAGGTCAGGATTAGTACATGGTGTTATAGGTCGGGGGGTTAGAGGTCAGGATTAGTACATGGTGTTATAGGTCGGGGGGTTAGAGGTCAGGATTAGTTTGCTGTCTAACTGGATCAGGGTCAGAGATGAGGATTTGTACAGGGGGTAGAGATGAGGATTTGTACAAGGTGTTACTAGATCAGGGGTTAGAGATGAGGATTAGTACAAGGTGTTACTGGATCAGGGGTTAGAAATAAGGATTAGTACAAGGTGTTACTGGATCAGAGGTTAGAGATGAGGATTAGTACAAGGTGTTACTGGATCAGGGGTTAGAGATAAGGATTTGTACAAGGTGTTACTGGATCAGGGGTTAGAGATGAGGATTAGTACAAGGTGTTACTTGATCAGAGGTTAGAGATAAGGATTTGTACAAGGTGTTACTTGATCAGAGGTTAGAAATAAGGATTTGTACAAGGTGTTACTGGATCAGAGGTTAGAAATAAGGATTTGTACAAGGTGTTACTGGATCAGGGGTTAGAAATAAGGATTTGTACAAGGTGTTACTGGATCAGAGGTTAGAAATAAGGATTTGTACAAGGTGTTACTGGATCAGAGGTTAGAGATGAGGATTAGTACAAGGTGTTACTGGATCAGAGGTTAGAGATAAGGATTTGTACAAGGTGTTACTGGATCAGAGGTTAGAAATAAGGATTTGTACAAGGTGTTACTGCATCAGGGGTTAGAGATAAGGATTTGTACAAGGTGTTACTGGATCAGGGGTTAGAAATAAGGATTAGTACAAGGTGTTACTGGATCAGGGGTTAGAGATGAGGATTAGTACAAGGTGTTACTGGATCTGGGGTTAAAACCAAAAGCAGTTAACAGGATATCATACAGCTTAAAGATCTGGCTCTGACATGTGTATTTCATTGTAATATATAAGACATCTATTGCTGAATAGAGTTCCATGAGATTGATGTGCACAGATCTGTTTTTCTCAGGAGCAGTGGTATTCATGAGGCTGATGAGTCTGACTCAGAGACACTGGCAGAGGACAATAGAAAGGGGTCAGTGGTCACTTTGCCAACAACACCAACCACACCCAACCAGGAAGTGGTGGTGAGGCCAATGGGAAAAACTGTGGAGGATGAGTACCTACATAACACCCACTCCTCTTCAAGGTAGGTAGTCCACTAGCCCAACATCAGGGGAATATATCTCTTTACATTGACAACAAAGTTTGGTTCAGAAAATTTTACAAAAATTGGACTGCAGGTTAGTGTTCAGAATATGAAAAGTACATCCTTGGTTCCTTAGTAGGGAGTTGTTTAAGAATTTCATATTGTATCAACCCAGAATTTGAAGACAATATCGTCTACTAAAATTTGGTCATCAACTCTTAAACTTGGGACAATGTTCTTGATTGGGGCAGTATACCTGTAAAGATTGATTTCCCATTACATATAAGAAAAACTTCTTTATATGCCCATCGCAAGACCGGACGTATTATGTTTTCACGCGGGTGGGTGGCCGCACATAGGTTTCCATTCAATAACTTGAATAATTTTTTACAGATTAATAGATAACCAAAATTTTTCGCTTATTATTTACAGAGTTTTGGCCCTTGGTATATTTGCAAAATAGGTTTCCCCTCAATAACTTGAGTAATTTTCCATTTATTTGAAACTTCATATGAAGGTTTATTACAAAAAAGGTTTTCACTCAATAACTTACGTAATAACAATTAAATGGAATTCATTGAGGCAGTTTTATTCTTGAATAGTTTTGGACGAGCGTATATTGTTCCGCCCTGCGGTACTCTTGTTTGTCATACTATCGATTCTATTACTGGTGTTGATGATACTTTATTTAACCATCATCAAAAAAAAAAAACACAAGATGATTTTCGACAGAAGTAGAAGTAGGTTAAACATCATTAATAAATGTAGGGTTTTGATACTGTTTGAGTTTGTGTATGATACACAAAGACCTACAAAGAAAAAATCAAGCTTCCAGGTCATATTACAGTCTATAAACTAATCATAACACACTAAATTTGTCCAAAACACAAAAAATATTTTCAGTTTTTTTAAAAGTGTTTTTCTTCCATTTCAGAGTTTCAGACCTTGCCAAAGCATTCCAGACAGAGGGGGTAATTTTTGTCTAGTTATCTTCTTTATTTTTTTCTCTTATTTCCCATGCATGTTGTGAGCTGATGTAGACGGTTGTCACTATTTTATCTTTTCACTTTGGAGAAGGCTTAGTGACTTATTAGATCCATTGATTTGTAGCTACGTCTTTCCTTCCCCAATCCTTTCTAACCATTACTTCTGAAGACAGTTGTTTGATAAAGAAAACCTATAACATTTTTGTGATAATGGACATATAAGTGTCTAGATTTTCATGATAGAGTGGAATTACAGAGGGTTTATATTTTATAATATTTCTGCCTTCAGTTTCTTGTTCAATTCTGTGTAAACCAGATGGGAGTATATATCAGGCTAATCACGCCCATCTGTTCAAGTGTATGAATACACATTGGATAGTGAAGATGATAAGTCCAACAGAAAAGTAATCCTGATAGATATCAATATAAATATTATACAATGATGAATGAGTGTTATTCAATTGATCTTCCATCCAGATTGGCTTCGTGTCAGCTGTATACCCCATCTGGTAACAGTTTATTGTCTAAATGATTCTGAAATGCAGAACAATTTTACATTGATGATTTGAAAATGAACAAACTTTTAATCCATAATATTTGGGGAAGGAGAAGCCATGTGTTAAATTAGATATTGAGACATTTAAGCTGATGCAAACTTCCTACAAATGCGAAATTATCTTATTGGGTCCATAAGTTTTTTTTTCATCAGAAATACTGTTTGAAATAGCACCTGTGTAGATGTTATCTTTCATAGGCTTTGAATTATTTTATTAGAGCAAAAACCAAGGTTTGAGAGTTAAGATTTCAATTTTGAAACCTGATGATGAATGGGGGTGGGGTTGGGAGTTCACCATCTTACAGTATATACCATAACAGGTATGGTGGGGTAGTTACAAGCAATAACTGATTGGACAGTTTTTAGGACTGAACACTTAGAGCAGGGCCAGATTATCACTGGGTATCATTTAAAAGTGTGAAAAGTTGATATAATGTTAATCACGCAGTCTAAGTAAAGCAATTAGGCCCAAAAGCAGTCAAAGATATAGAAGTATGCACCTAGAAATCAATTATTCATTTTTAGGGAAAAAAATGAATCCGTTTTTCTATTTTCTCTGAAAGATGAAGTGTTTCATGTCAGAGACTGATGAATAATTGAAAACAAAAAAGTTAAAAATGACAAATCTCAAACATTTTATCGAGGACCTTGATAATTTCAATAGAATTAGAATAATAATCTAGTTGAATAAAGGCAACCTGGGGTTCTGCCTGTATGTGTAGGTATCAACAATTAAATACATTCTGCTGGTCATCTAGAATTAAGCTACCTACTCTCTGACAAAGATTGGCCAAGTAAGAACATGGATAGGCTCAGTAGCTCACTTCATGATAGCCTTGGCATGGATTCCTAGCTCACTCACCAGTATGCTCTTGTATCCTCCTATTTATTAAACTGATCATATGCTTACACCTGGAGTAATAAGTCATCCCCATACAGACCAATTAAATCCAGGGATCCAGATATTCACAAACTCGTGTAGCTTGCTTGCTCTCATACAAATTGCATTCTACTAAATTCTTTTATATTCACTGCATTGTAAGGGTATGCATTAAAGGTCCTGTAAACTAGCCATTTCAATTATGAAACTACCCTGCAACAGAAAAATGCTTGCCAAGGGAGATAACTCAGGGAAATAACTCAACTGCGTGGCATCGGTGGCAGGTTTGCTTTACAATGATGTGTTGTTGATTAAAGGAGACGAAATCGGATCGTCCTCTCAGGCCGTCAATTGTGGTAGAGAGAGAATACCAACAGAAAAGACGCCCAAAAAACTCTCCAGCTCCTCTCGCAAAACAAGAGTCATTTTCTGATCTGGTAAGGCAATTTGACGGCAAATATGACCAATGCTGTAGTGTAGATTGGAATTTAAGTTTTGTTTTGTACGCTGAAGTTGAAAGCATACATGTTTGTGTTAAAGCAGCTTTCTCCAAGCCCTGTATTTTTGGAGCTTTGCTGTTAATATTTTAAAGTTACTTTTTTAGAGAAGGGTATTTATGTGCTTGTCTTTATATAAAGCTTTGCTTTTTGTGTTAACACGCTGTTTATTTATAGAGGAAACTTCATGGTAACAAATCTCTTTCATTTCATCAAGTTATCAATCAAATCTATGAAATCGGAATTAAATTGTGAATCCATCAAATGATAAATCTCTTAAATTGTGAACCTTTCAAATTTTTAATAATCTAATCATACATTTTTCATGGATATAATTAATCAAATTGTGAAGTGGAATTTGGAATGATGAATACGGTAAAACTCAGAGTATTCCATACTTCATTAGATATATTGGTTCAAATTTACTTAAGGTGAAAGAGTAGTGTCTTGTCAGTTTCCATGCTTAATCAAAGTGTTTGTTCTCAAAAAGCTCAAGTTCACTTCAGAAATGTGTTAAAGTCAGTTTGAATTAAAGATCTTGAAGTTATCTATGCACTATTGTAATGCGTTTTCCAGTAAAAGTTTGATTAGCTTTGGGTACTGCTCTTCTTTGCAGAGGTTTGGAATTGTGAAATATTTTTATTATATTATTTTTTCAAAATAGCTCCATTTTTAGTTGCTTTATTGTGAAGGATGCCTTTATTTAGGCAAAGGCACTAACTTATTTTGTAAGATGAAGATATATTATTTCTAATTAAAGTCCCTGTATGTGGGCAGTAGTGTGGTTTACATGGTTAGTGATCTTGTGCATGAACTCAATCAGTACTCTGCATGATGCTGAATGCTGCCTGAAATTAACCTAGTTTACAGACAATTACATTTTCATTGACTTTTCATTTGAGTCCTGTTGTTGTAGTCATGATTAGGTTCACACTCCTATTACTGCATGTTCATTTAGTGGTAATAATGTTACAAAAAAATCTATATTTTTTAAAACGCTAATCATTGTGTAAGGTTATTCCCCACATTGCTGCATAATATGAAATTAAAAAGCATGCAAATCGATTGGTTAAATACAGCTAATGGAAAACTTAACGGTTTATGAACTTGTATTTATTGTAGCTACCTAGGTTTGAATCACAGGGACTTGGCACAAATTTTCAAGACCTGGTCCATATATCTGTACTGGTATTATAGTGGTGATAAAGGTTGTAACTCCAGAAAAGGGGAAACTGTACATACTTTATTAAAAGTATGTTTTCCCATATCTAGCGACCATAGATTTTACCTTAAAGAGAAACGTTTTATCATTCCGATAAGTGTTTGAGGATTGGCCAAGTATTGACAAAGTTATGACCTGACAAAACTAAACTGAGCTGAAATCACAAAATCTATGTTTGTGGTGGTATACAGTACCCTTGACCGTAACCTCACAGAATGTACATTGAGGTTGTCATGTCTGTAGGTTGTAGAAATTGCATATCAGCATCAAAGTGCTGACTGTCCCAAAACAACTGCTCTCTTTTCTTTTATGTCCCTGATCACTGGTATATGCCGTAATGAGTCTTGGCCTAGGCCCCAAAACCCATTATAGGATTAGGATAAATAATCTGTATTTCAAGAATGAAAAATCAATTGAATTTCAAATTTTCTTAAAAAATCTATTGAAATGTTTGAAATAATTTTCACATTGAATAGTTTATATTATAATTTCACGTTTGAGTGCTGGGTTTGCTCAAACAACAAATCACCGATTTAAACAGATGTATAATATATGTCCCTTATATAAACAAATAAGAAAATGTAAAGAATATGTTCAAAGTGTTGATGGTTGAAATTATATGATTTTTTGTTAAGGGTTATGTATATGGTACTAAGATCTGCTGTCATTAGAATATCAAAAAATTTTAAAATATTTTCAGTTTTTCCTTCTTGGGAGTTATAACCCTTGTCACTATAATACATATATACTGACCGTGAGTCAGGAATTTGTGTCTTTGTGGTTTGAATGGCAAAGGTACAAATTTCATTATAAGTACAATACATAATTAGAAACTTTTCTGTTGTTGTTGTCTCCCTTGTTTATTTTGTTTAAAAGCAGTAAAATCCATCATATCTTCTAAATGTTTGATTAAACAAACTCTCCAAATAACTTTTCAACTTTCAAGTCAATATTTATCTTTGTATGTAATTAGAATAAATGTTTTGCATTAGTTAACCTGGATTTGTTTATAGCTAAGAATCAAAAAAGGTACACAATGTGACAGAACAGACCAAACTCTAATCCAAATTATCAGTTATCGTTTGATTTTGGTTTTTGATTCCAAATATTTCTAGTAATTTTTAATTGAACTGTAACATTTGTGTGAAGTAAAACTTAAAGAGCCATCATTGTCTTAAGTAAACATTGAGGTTGATAACTGTTAAGTGTCATGGTAACCTTTGCTTGGTTTAGGAGTCTTCGCCCACTAGCCCAGAAAACACTGTGATATCCCGAGAAAAGCTCCAAGATATAGATGACTGTCTGAAGAAAAATAAAGACAAGCAGGAAGCTCCCTCACAACCACTCTCCCCAACCAGCGACTTTTCCAAGAACAAAAGTCCCTTCCGAAGGGCACGCAGACAGTTCAAGAACATCATGGGAGGTATGTAAAGATTTCAGCGTCATTTAAAACCCATCTGTCTGACTGTATATGGAAATTCATTTTACTTCATTTGAATGTTCATTGAGCTCCACCTTTGAATATTCACCTGAACTTAAATAGAGAGTAGATGGAATAGTATTGCCATTCTCTTGTATGAATATATATTTACATTTTATGTATAAATCCATATTCATAATCTTTAACTCTCAATATTGGTGAGTGTTTCTGATGTATATAGTTTTTTTAACTTTCATTTTCATTGTGTTTATACCAGTCATGTTTGTTTAGTTATATGTAAATCAGTTTATGTAGTGTTTAGATATACTCCAAATTATTCACAGTGAGTTGTAACTGGAAAATTAATATTAAGTCATGTCCAAAATTTAAAACAAAGAAGATTTATACAAAATGCAATGACTACATGCTATGCTTTCACGAAAAAAAGAAAAAAAAATTAATATTGTCATACAAGAATGAATCTTTGTAGTTGAGACTCACTGTTGATACATTTGATGTGGTCCTGGCACTTCCTACTTCCTTTGTCTGTGTGCTGGAGTGGTTGTAGGGGGGCTGCAGCTGTTAGCTAGCAATGTGTAGTATTGTAGTTCCTTGTCCTCTGTTGTTTATAGTAGTTTGTGGTGTAGTGAGGTGTAACATTTCTGGGACATACACACCAGCAGGCCTGTAAAATATTACATTTTCCTACTAAATTTTTGCCCTTGAACTTTTAAAACAAAATTCCCCCAGTTTTAGTATAACTTATATTCAAATTAGGAAATCCTTCCTATTTTTATGATTGAATAAAGTGGATTAACACTACCATTTTAGACAATATATCCATTTTATCAAGATATATTGTGATTATCTCTTGTATGGATTAGATTATCTCTTGTATGGATTAATAGACATTAGCCATTTTACCAAAATTGGACCCGTCTTTTAAATCAAGAGATTTTTTGTTTCGATTTTTGGATTGATTTGGAATTAGGACAGACAATCAGTCATGTTTTTTTGTAATACAGCTTGTTGAATTATACACTAACCTACTTATGAGTTCGCTTATGAAGATTCAAACAACATAAAAAATTTCAATTTACTTTTCGTTGTTTTAGACTGTTGTAGCCAGTTACTATAGTAAAATTTGTTCAACATTTTGATTCACTTATCATTATGTCGGTAAAAATGGCAGCCAACTGTGGTCTCTTGCCTCAAATTCATAAAGGGGATTCACTGTGTTGTTGATGGAATTGTTCTGTTTCATAAAACTAGATTTGAAGGAGTCCAATAAGAGTTGCAATGCTTATCACCTAATGCGCCATAGACCATCATTACGATTCCTCCATAGGGAGAAGTGTGAGTAAGAACCAAGAGTTCTGGGCATGAATTTTGAAACTGCCTATAACGGTTACTAAGTTACCAGCCATGCTTTAACACAACTATACTTGATTGGCTAGAGTTGGCGGATTTTTTTGGAATGAGCTTATGCATACGAAAAACCCTTGCATGGTGTCTTCCAAGGTTGGAATGGACTAGCTATAGCCTTTTGGTCCTGTTTGGAAGAATTGCTATATCATTACAAGGTGTCCAGACTGTAGTGTCTTGTTTGTCCATAGTTAACATGTATGTCCACACACAAATTACTCTAGGTGTGTATGACGGTAGTGTATGAATGTTAAACTCTCATGTAGTAGAAGCAGTGGTAGTTTTATAATATCTTAACACATTTTTCTGTAGGAATTAAAACGACACATATATTGTCTTTGATGGGTTTGTATGACTTTCATATTGCAACCCTCTGTCTGTTCAGGTCATGTCTCTGATATCTGTCTACTTCGTGGAGAGCATGCATCTTGAGCATGTGCATACTGATGCCTCTGATGACCCTTTATTACCTCAGCATAAAAACCATATACATGTACTCTGTATCACATATTCATGGCCCAAAGCGACCTTATATGGTCTATATATACATTATATCATTACATTTGTATACTTGTGAATATTGGCTGAGATCACTGGAATCTCTTACTGACCTTTTACAGTGGGTGGGAAGAAATAATGATGTTTAATTATATAAAGTTGTGTGATGTTGTTCTCTGTGTGGTAAGTTTTAGCAATGTAATTCATGTAGTATTATAGTTTGGCCATGTTATCATTTCATTTTCACTGCTTCAGTTTTGCTTGTTGCTGCCCTTTGATTTCCATACTAAAATAAGATTGTGAATTTGTGTAAAAATACTGGAATGAATTGGGATCTACGAGAAGATAACTTGATAATGTAAGTAATTTCTAAAAGAAAACAAGGAAATAGGAGATTTTTAGGTCACCTGGCCGTAAGGGCCAAGTAAGTTAAAGGGATACTGTGGTGTCTGTCCAGTGTCTGTCAAATCCTTACTAATCATGAACACCTGAGTGGATTTTAAATTTAGGCTGAAGAATTCTTGGGAAAAGGGGAATTAATTTTGATATTGGCCCCCGGGGATCTGAGGGAAGGTCTCAAATGGGAAAAATTTATCAATTTCTTGAAAATCTATTTTGTTCTTCAGGAATTGCAGGATATTGTCCAAATTTGGTCAGAAGCATGCTTGGGTGAAGGGAAATCAGTTTTGCAAAAATGTTGGGTCTCTGCTCTCTCAGGAGTGTGAGGGCAGGACCAATGGAGAAAAACTATCAATTTCTTTAAAATCTATTTTGTTCTTCAGGAATTGTAGGATATTAGGGGCAGGAGGAGGGGGAAGGGGGCACAATAGGAGAAATAGAGCAAAAGTCATCAAAATATCCTTCTCCTGATGAAAGAATATCCAGATGTTGTCCCTATTTGACCTGATGCATGCTTGGAAAGGGAATCAACTTTGTATAAATGGTGAATCTCATCCCCCAAGGGTGTAAGGGATGAGACCTAATAGGGGAAACAGGGTAAAGTCTCTTCATTCTTCTTATGTAGAAATGTCTGAATTCTGTCCAGTTTGGTTTGAGACATGCTAGGGTGAAGGAGATCAATTCTGTATGAACACTGGGTTCCAGCCCAGTGGGACAGGAGGGACTGGGTTACATAGTGGAAATAGAGCAAATTCTTTAAAAATCCTTCTTCTGATGGAACTGCAGACAACCTTGGTGAGGAGAATTAAGTTTTGTAGAAACAGAGAATCTAACACCCTGTGGGAGGAGGGAAGATTCTTTTACAGGGAAATAGACACAATAACTTTCCTTTAGTTTAAATTAATCCTTTTCAGTAAACTAAGCAAGTCAAACAATACAGGCCTCTGGGCCTCTTGTTTATTAGAAAACATGATAAGATATTACAGATATTTAAAATAAAAGATGTACGGAAGTTTATTTAGAAGTAAAATATGAATGCAATATACAGTATGCAATCAAACTAAATGTCTGGATAGAAAACAGAAATTTCTTGATAGAACTTTACAGAAAATATCTTTACAAAAAGAACATATTTCTGCAAATTAGGAATAAATGTTTCAGAGAAGAAGAAAGCATCAAAAAGAAATAAGGGAATTTCTGAATAGATATTTTGAAATAGGGATTTCATGAAGAAAAGGCAGATATTACGATAGAAAATGTAATAAGCGATTTCAAAATGATACAGTAAGAAATAAGAGATGTTGGAATAGAACATATAAAATTTATTTAAATGCTTCAAATCAGAAAAATGAAAGCAAATAAAAATGGTTTATATTATTCCTGATTTGTCTGAAATGAAATATCTACTACACATAACAGTGTTAAACCATATGCAGAAAATAAAGGATATTAAAACCGATAGATCCATTTCAGGTTTCTTGTGAAGCAAACTGATATGTGTTTTTGTTTCATCATATAAAAATAAATCAAAGTATAGATTCCATTTGTTCTCTCTAGTGATACTTTTGTAGACACATTATGATTTATTATGCATTGTGTTCCCCAAATCTTGTAATGGGCAACATATTTCTGTCGGCATGTAAGGTATGTGTGTTTTATTGTAAAAGAAAAACAAAAAACTCTAGATGTAAAACTTCCTTATATGAAAGTTTCGAACATTAGATCATGACTGGAGGATTCTTTTTGAAACACCATTGGTCTGAAGCAGATAAAGACTCGTTTATGAAGTTTCTGTTCAACTGCTATTTGTTGTGTTTAATTTTCAGTGATGTAATAGCATCATATCAGGTTGAAGAAGTTTCATCATCATCCCATATTTCATGTGATGCTGTTGTCATAGAAAATTGCCATATAAAGAAAATAGGATACAAACAGTTTCTTTATTTAAGATATTATTTTCAGTCAAAGAATTGAAAGCCAACCTATAACAAAAGGATTGTTTTAGGTGAAGGATGTATTATCAAGGGTGACATATATACCAATTAATGTGAGGTAACATTATACTAAGTATTGCATAGAATGGAGTTTAACATAGGAATAGGGCACAAAACTCACCTTGAAATATTGATATAAGATTTTTGATATGTTATGGGCATAAGTTTTGGTAGTGTGTTATAGATAATGACATGAGTAACAATGAGAATGTTCTTATACAGCAAACAAAAAAGGAAAGAAAGACTCACAGGACGACAGCGATGAAGAGGAAGTTTTACATCATGGCCCAGATTTCCATACGAGAAGTAAGTAACCCATACCTCATCCCTTCATATTTACTCTATACTTGTACAAGTAGCAGCAATGCTTTGATGATTTTTACACACAAGAAGTTGTATAACTCTAATTCTCTATATACTACCTGTACTACAGCCAAGCTTAGTAATTCCACACATGAAGTAGGTAACCATGATCCTGTACAATCTACTTGTGTTACAGCCAAGCTTAGTAATTCCACACATGAAGTAGGTTACCATGATTCTGTACAATCTACTTGTGTTACAGCCAAGCTTAGTAGTTCCACACATGAAGTAGGTAACCATGATTCTACTTGTGTTACAGCCAAGCTTAGTAGTTCCACACATGAAGTAGGTAACCATGATTCTACTTGTGTTACAGCCAAGCTTAGTAGTTCCACACATGAAGTAGGTAACCCTGATCCTGTACAATCTACTTGTGTTACAGCCAAGCTTAGTAGTTCCACACATGAATTAGGTAACCCTGATCCTGTACAATCTACTTGTGTTACAGCCAAGCTTAGTAGTTCCACACATGAAGTAGGTAACCATGATTCTACTTGTGTTACAGCCAAGCTTAGTAGTTCCACACATGAAGTAGGTAACCCTGATCCTGTACAATCTACTTGTGTTACAGCCAAGCTTAGTAGTTCCACACATGAAGTAGGTAACCCTGATCCTGTACAATCTACTTGTGTTACAGCCAAGCTTAGTAGTTCCACACATGAAGTAGGTAACCCTGATCCTGTACAATCTACTTGTGTTACAGCCAAGCTTAGTAGTTCCACACATGAAGTAGGTAACCATGATTCTACTTGTGTTACAGCCAAGCTTAGTAGTTCCACACATGAAGTAGGTAACCATGATTCTACTTGTGTTACAGCCAAGCTTAGTAATTCCACACATGAAGTAGGTAACCCTGATTGTACAATTGTGTTTACAGCCAAGCTTAGTAGTTCCACACATGAAGTAGGTAACCATGATTCTACTTGTGTTACAGCCAAGCTTAGTAGTTCCTGTACAATCTACTTGTGTTACAGCCAAGCTTAGTAGTTCCACACATGAAGTAGGTAACCATGATTCTACTTGTGTTACAGCCAAGCTTAGTAGTTCCACACATGAAGTAGGTAACCATGATTCTACTTGTGTTACAGCCAAGCTTAGTAGTTCCACACATGAAGTAGGTAACCATGATTCTACTTGTGTTACAGCCAAGCTTAGTAGTTCCACACATGAAGTAGGTAACCATGATTCTACTTGTGTTACAGCCAAGCTTAGTAGTTCCACACATGAAGTAGGTAACCATGATTCTACTTGTGTTACAGCCAAGCTTAGTAGTTCCACACATGAAGTAGGTAACCATGATTCTACTTGTGTTACAGCCAAGCTTAGTAGTTCCACACATGAAGTAGGTAACCATGATTCTACTTGTGTTACAGCCAAGCTTAGTAGTTCCACACATGAAGTAGGTAACCATGATTCTACTTGTGTTACAGCCAAGCTTAGTAGTTCCACACATGAAGTAGGTAACCATGATTCTGTACAATCTACTTGTGTTACAGCCAAGCTTAGTAGTTCCACACATGAAGTAGGTAACCATGATTCTACTTGTGTTACAGCCAAGCTTAGTAGTTCCACACATGAAGTAGGTAACCATGATTCTACTTGTGTTACAGCCAAGCTTAGTAGTTCCACACATGAAGTAGGTAACCATGATTCTACTTGTGTTACAGCCAAGCTTAGTAGTTCCACACATGAAGTAGGTAACCATGATTCTACTTGTGTTACAGCCAAGCTTAGTAGTTCCACACATGAAGTAGGTAACCATGATTCTGTACAATCTACTTGTGTTACAGCCAAGCTTAGTAGTTCCACACATGAAGTAGGTAACCATGATTCTACTTGTGTTACAGCCAAGCTTAGTAGTTCCACACATGAAGTAGGTAACCATGATTCTACTTGTGTTACAGCCAAGCTTAGTAGTTCCACACATGAAGTAGGTAACCATGATTCTACTTGTGTTACAGCCAAGCTTAGTAGTTCCACACATGAAGTAGGTAACCATGATTCTACTTGTGTTACAGCCAAGCTTAGTAGTTCCACACATGAAGTAGGTAACCATGATTCTACTTGTGTTACAGCCAAGCTTAGTAGTTCCACACATGAAGTAGGTAACCATGATTCTACTTGTGTTACAGCCAAGCTTAGTAGTTCCACACATGAAGTAGGTAACCATGATTCTACTTGTGTTACAGCCAAGCTTAGTAGTTCCACACATGAAGTAGGTAACCATGATTCTACTTGTGTTACAGCCAAGCTTAGTAGTTCCACACATGAAGTAGGTAACCATGATGTGTTACAGCCAAGCTTAGTAGTTCCACACATGAAGTAGGTAACCATGATTCTACTTGTGTTACAGCCAAGCTTAGTAGTTCCACACATGAAGTAGGTAACCATGATTCTACTTGTGTTACAGCCAAGCTTAGTAGTTCCACACATGAAGTAGGTAACCATGATTCTACTTGTGTTACAGCCAAGCTTAGTAGTTCCACACATGAAGTAGGTAACCATGATTCTACTTGTGTTACAGCCAAGCTTAGTAGTTCCACACATGAAGTAGGTAACCATGATTCTACTTGTGTTACAGCCAAGCTTAGTAGTTCCACACATGAAGTAGGTAACCATGATCCTGTACAATCTACTTGTGTTACAGCCAAGCTTAGTAGTTCCACACATGAAGTAGGTAACCCTGATCCTGTACAATCTACTTGTGTTACAGCCAAGCTTAGTAGTTCCACACATGAAGTAGGTAACCATGATTCTGTACAATCTACTTGTGTTACAGCCAAGCTTAGTAGTTCCACACATGAAGTAGGTAACCCTGATTCTACTTGTGTTACAGCCAAGCTTAGTAGTTCCACACATGACCATTATTCTTATTTTTTTTTATTTTAAGAGTTTGATGCTCTAAGCTGGTAACCATCTATTCCTCATGTAATTATTGCCCCTTTCATTTTCAACCTTAAAAACCCTCAAAAACTTCATCAACCGCTTTGTAAAGAATTGTTTATACTACACTGGAATTTTAAATAAAATTCAATTGTGAAACAAACAACAAAAAAGAAAAAACCAAAACTAAATGTATTTTTGTGTTACCTGATTTCTCTATTTAGAATTCCAAAGACTTTTTCTACTTTTAATAACATTTGTATAAGCATGGAATATTTAAGTAACTTTTTTCGTGTCACAAATAGTTTCCCCTCATGGTTGTAGTAGGAGGTAATATTTCATTACATATGTATCTGGAATGTAGAAAATTGAATCCCTAATGTCAATACTAGCCTTTGTTGTGATGGGATGAGTGATGTCAGTGTGTAGATAAGATCTTGGGTACTAAGAGAGGTAATTACAGGGGATACAGGAATAAATAGATTAAAAATAACAATTACACATAGGTTTGGAATAGTATAACATATCAGGCCTTAAAATAGATCATGAAAGTTGTAACTTATTGTTTGTTTTTTATCAAAGAACACATGTTTTTGTTTCAACTGGACTAGAACAGTTTAAGTAGTAGGTTCAGGATATAAATGGTGTTTTAAAACATTCAATGTTTTCTAGCTAAGCTATACATTGTAATAATGGTCAATGCCAGGGCGCTTAGACCAGATGTCAACAAACACTAAGTGTTACTGCAGAACATTAAAAAGCATCTCGTTTTTCAGTTGGTGTGCCAGTTTTACCAGTAGGAGATTTGTCTGTCCCTAAGTCTCCAACAGCCAGGAAAGGATCAGTACAAGGATCTCAGGAGGATCTTACCTCTGTATCTAGTAGTGATAGACCTGACCGTAAAGGTAGAAAGAAACGACAGGACAGAAAGCCTGTTGAACTGGAGAAGAAGTCCGCATCACCACAGAGAAACGAATGGACCCTAGCTGGAACCTCCCTTTGGCAGTACCCTGAAGATCTTGGTCTCAAAGATATCTCTGAGATTTCACAGCTTGACGAATTCATTCATAAAAAAGTAAAGAAATGGCTGATAATTGATTAATTTTCCATTTAATTCTATATGTTACACATATAGATTACAATAATGAAAAGTGTGTATATGCACCTTGCTTTCTTGTTTGTTAGAAAAGTACTGAGTAAGATTGTGAGAAATACACACCTGGAAAGTTTTAGTTTTACCTCAGCAACTAATGGTGTTTTGTTTTGTTGTTTTCAGCTTTTAGCTTATAATAAAGATTGTTCCAGAAGAGACACAATATTTGATGCTGTATTTAAACGATCACTGAAGGAGTTTCACATAGACATGCAAGCTCTTATATCTGTGGAGAAAAAGGTAAGATCATATAATGATTGCTATGACTGATTGCTCTGAAATGTAGAGATTCTACGAAACTTTGGGTCTAGAGAATAATTAGGATAATTATTCAAAGATTACTTATCATGGAGCTTTCACCAGTCATAAAGTAGTGTGTATTATCGTTAATTTCAGGAAGTTAAATGCCATTGTCAGTTTAAGGAAGATAGAATTATTTTTAAAATCTTGATAAAATATAGCATGTTGGTGTGCTACTCTGCTAGTATAGTGAAAAGGTCAATTGTATGGGGTATTGTTAATAACCAAGATGATGTAGAAGTTCGAAATTAACAAAAATCTGAAGATCATATTTTTTTTTTTGCAGAAAATAGAAGTACATGTCCCATATCGTGACATCTTTGCTAAGTTTGTCCACACATTGGAAGCTGAAGTGACAGCTGAAGGTACAAATGCTTCATTCCCAGTCACAATGGGAATCAATGCTTTCCGTGGTTTCCTGGACGAATTCATCAAAAATCATAAGAAAGAAAAGAAAAAGGAAGACAGGAAAACAGAAAGTAGGGCACAGAAACGGGAGCACAAGAAAAAAGATGTTGTGGTAAGTTTTCTGGTGTATTTACCTCACCACGAAATAGTCAGTGTCATAGAGACTTCATAGTCCTGGTCAGAACTTACCTTTCAGTTTGGAGCAACAGAACTACATTTGAAGGACTTAACAGATCTTTCTCATATTTGACAGTTAAATATCATCACTATTACTTATCATTAATATATAATAATTAATCACAAATTTCACATAATTAAGAAGAAATAAAATGAAAGAAGGAAAAGGACCCAAAATTAAAGACCAAATTAAGATCAAACTTTGGTGGGTGCTAAAATCCCTCTGGGATCTCATGTTTTTATAAGAGCTTTGTTGAAGCATGTCAGTATACAAAACAAAAGGTTATGCTTCTTTTCAGAAATATATCTCTTTTGTAGCTGTTCTTCAAAAAATATTCAGTTTCACTGTTTCCTCCTAAATTCATGGACAAACAGTACATTTTACAACATTAGTTCAAAAACATGCCTCAACAGCTTTAAAAATTTCAATTTTATATGAAATTTAAATAAGTTTGATGAGTAAATTGACCGTTTGCTTTTAATGATGTAGAAATCATATCAGTTGTAGATGATAAATGATTTTGTTGTTAAAGGTCTATAATGCAATGCTTGTAAAATTCATTGTTAGAGAAAGAAAAAGTCATAAGAAGCAATTATTGATTTCATTATGAATATTTTGCCCAGGAATACCAGGGACACAAATTTAGCCAGGTGCAGTTTGGTATACCAACATTTTGTGAGTTCTGCAGTAATATCATCTGGATCATGGAGAAGGGAAGCGTTTGTCAAGGTAGGTAACTCATAAGTGTCACATTGGAGAAGGGCATTGATTGATATGGTAGATAACTGTGTCATACTAGAGAAGGGAAGTGTGTTCTAGGGTAGGTAACCTAAGTGTCCCACTAGAGAAAGGGAACATCTGTCAGGGTGGGTAACTGTCAAAAGTCACATTAGAGAATGGGAGCGTATGTCAGGGTAGATAACTCTAAGTATTACACTATATAAGAGAAGTGTGTCAGGGTAGGTAACTCTAAGTATTACACTGTATAAAAGAAGAGTGTGTCAGGGTAGGTAACTGTTAAGTATTACACTATATAAGAGAAGAGTGTGTCAGGGTAGGTAACTCTAAGTCTAATACTTAAAAGAAATTAAGGGAAGCTTTTGTAGAGGTAAATAACTCTGTAAGAGGTTATTCTACTGTATTGCCTGTCAAGGGAAGGAGGGTATATTGCTGTATTTGTCTATTTCTCTAGGTTAGATGGGAATAATACTGTATTGTTGTATGATAATGTATTACATAACTAGGGTAGGTGGGTATAACGTTGTATTACATATCTAGGGTAGGTGGGTATGATGCTGTATTACATATCTAGGGTAGATGGGTGTAATGCTGTATTACATATCTAGGGTAGGTGGGTATAATGTTGTATTACATATCTAGGGTAGGTGGGTATAATGTTGTATTACATATCTAGGGTAGGTGGGTATAATGTCGTATTACATATTTGGGATAGGTGGGTATGATGCTGTATTACATATCTAGGGTAGGTGGGTGTAATGTTGTATTACATATCTAGGGTATGTGGGTATAATGTTGTATTACATATCTAGGGTAGGAGGGTATAATGTTGTATTACATAATTAGGGTAGGTGGGTATAATGTCGTATTACATATCTAGGGTAGGTGGGTATATTACATGATGAATTATGTTTTTTTATAACTTATCTTTCAGTCTGTAAATATACCTGTCATCGAAAGTGTGTGACAAAATCAAGCAATACATGTAAAGGTGCTCATGACACACAGGTAAATATATTGACAATTTCCATCTGGTCTCCTGATAGTACCTTTTAACTGGACTCATCAAACACTCTCTGTTGGAATCATGTCCTTCACATCTCCCAGTCATCTACTCTGATCACATTTTGATGTGGTGTGTTAATCACATTCATAAGTCACATAAGAATTGGGTACTTGATCAAAAAGTTACTTGAGGTGTAAAGGAAGTCACTGTGGTTTGCACCTGTTTAGTTTATCACAATTTTTTACTTATTTACTGAAGGCGGTGCGATACATACAGGGTTCTTTTGAGACATTCCATGACCTGGTAAACTGTAAATATTGATGGTTAAATGTCATTATTTTCGAGTGGTGATTCAGTGTTTAAGTTTAAATGCCAAAGGCATAACAACAATTGAATTTCCGTCTGAAGGGGCGGGGGGGGGGGGGGGGGGGGGGGGGTTTGCTGTTGAAATTAGTGGTATTGATGTTACCACATAGAATACAATGTTGACGATATAATGAACTTTATCAGGATTCTGATTGTTGCCGTAGTAATTGTTTGGTGAAAGCTTTCTTTTCATTGGGGCAATTTCAAACCTTCTGTTATGCTTCTTGTGATTTTTGCCAAGCCATTAATAACTAACTGGTCCAAAGGACCAGTGGGCCATGGTACAGCGTCCCATATCCATTCAGCGTCTGTCGTCCATCAGCTTTTTTATATAAATCGCTACTCGTCATGAATGACTGAACAGATTTTGACTAAATTTGGTCAAATGCATGCAGGTGGTCAAAATTTGTGTAAATATTGGGAGCAAAAGGGAAAAATTTATTTTTCTAAAAGTTGTTTGAAAATCCTTTTCCTTTTACAGGAATGAATAGATATTGCCTGAATTTGGTCAGAAGCATCATTAGGGTAGAGAAATCAGTCTTGTGTGAATTTTAGGTCTCGGCCCTTTGGAGTGAAATGGATAGGGCCCAATAGGGGAAATATAGAAAATTCTTAAAAAATCCACTCCACCTGTAAGAAGTGATTAGAATTCGCTCAAATTTGGTCTGAGGCATTCTTGAGTTAAGGGGATTAAGTTCTGTATATATGATGAGTCTTGGCCCCCTTGGATGGGGCCCAATAGGGAAATGGAGTAAATTCTTTGAAATCTTACTCCTTTGCTAGGAATGATTTAATATTACCCAAATTTAGTCTGAAGCATCCTTGGAGTAAGGGGAATCGGCCTTGCATATATGTTAGGACTCAGTCCTCTGGGGCAGAAGGAGTAGGGCCTGATGGGGGAAAAGTCCTACTCCTCCTGTAGGAATGTTTGGTTTTACCCAAATTTGGTCTTAAATTTTCATTGGTAAAGGGAAATCATTTTTGTATAAATATTAGATTCTGGCCCCTGGGGAAGGAGGGGTGGGGCACAATTGGGGAAATGTAAGTTCCTATATTACTTCTTCTGTACAAGGATATTGTCCCAACATTTAGTCTAAAGCAAATTTTATAAATATTGAATCTGACTTCTGTTTGACATCAAGGCCAGGACCCAATAGGGAAATTATTTCAGAAATTATTTGTCATATTTGAAATTCTTTGTTGAATGACTAAATATCTGAATAACCAAGGTGAATGATGCAAGCTCTTTGAGCCTCTTGTTTTTATGTGTGTAGGACTAGTTGATACATTGGCTCTGAAACATATTCTCCCAGTTTAGTTTTGTGGTGTTGTGATGTTCCAGTGATACTGTGTTCTACCTGCATGCCATTTTCAGAACAGGCGTGGTGGGAATATTATGCTGGGAGATAACCAGACTTAATTTACTTCATAATTTCTGTTTAGAAGTATAGGCAGCTATTATAGAATTATAGAAATGAGGTATGATATTTGTCTGACAACAAAGATAACTGCTAAGAGATCCCTAGATCTGTTGAAAAGCATAAACCATTACATTGTCCAAATGGCACCATTGTGATATAATTAATGTAAGAACATATTGTAAATGATTGTATTCCTTATTTATTGCTGTTTGGTGTTCTATAAATTGTGGTTGTGATATAGATAGTGTGGTGATACACCTGACAGAAAAAATTTTTTATTTTTTCTCATTGTGATTACAATGAAATATACTTAAAGCAAGTAAACAGTGGCAAGAATTCCTCAGTAATATAAAAAAAATATTTCTGATTTTCCAAACCCTGTTTTAACAAGTTAAAACAGAACTGTTATATTAGCTTCAGTGTTAAAGAAAAGAGAAAATATCAGGACGTTTTTCCAGGTTGATAAAGAATCATAGTTCATGGTGATTTGTTAAATTTTTTTTACTTTCTGACTTTGATTTCATTTTAATTATAGTGTTATGATTAAAAAAAACAGCAACAACAACAGCAATGAAATCCTTGTTATTTTTAATTTTTTTAAATACTGTATCTTACAAGACTTGTCTTTGCATATATGTATCTGCAATGTTTTTGTGACTATCAGAATTGTTTTAAATCATAGCTTAAACATTCATGCATCCAGGAACTCTTTCTCAATATTTTTTTCATTTAATTGATAGGTGAATCTTTATGTACCTGATTTTTCAGACCGACATCATTGAATCATCTACCACAAAAGTTGCTACAGGACACAGGGTGCAGTCCCTTGTCCTGCGCCTCAACCTTATGGCCGAGGTTATATGATTTTCCAGTTTATTGGTTTGCTGACTAAGCACCTATTAATGTTGTTACTGGTCAAGGTCACAAGACAGATTGTCCACACTACAAACCAATTAACAACAGAAGCTTCCTTATTAACAGGAATGCTTGATTTGCTTTTATACTAAAACTATTGCAGAAAATTTTTCAAGAAAATACTATTTACGGATTGAAAATGTGGTAAAATAGAATTTTGGTTTTTGTGTACAATACTTGACTGTGTACCGACTATGTAGATAAGCAAACTGAGCCAATACTTTGCCTGGAAGTTGTGTGACAGGGTAGTGGTGAGATTTAACAAATGTCACTGTGACTGAAGTCATTGTATTTACTGTGTAATAAGTCCAGAGAGCCAACATACAAATCATAATCCAAAGTCAGGAGGCTTGCTTAAGTATTGAATTACTATGCAATGTTACTTATATATAACTTTGCTGAACAGCCATAGACATGGATGGGCTTATTACAGGACAATAATTTAGCATTATCATTTCTTTGAAAATACCACAGATGAGGATGGGCTTATTAACAGACATGGGCTTATTGCCAGTTAAATACTGTGCTATCTGTATTTAATTTATTCAATTAAAAGCAAAAAGTTTGATATACAAAGTGCAGCTAAGGCAGAAACTGTCTTGTTTTCACAGCTTAGTATAAAAAAGGCAAAGTATTAGCTTTGTTTCAGTGTAGTCAGTCATCGTTGCAATGTACATGTGATAGGTTCCTATATAAATCACATGACCATCATACCTAACCAGATATCTCTATGATTGGTCTATCTTCATTCCTGTGCTGGCAGTACTACCGTTGGGATCAGTTCAATTGCTGCTTTCATTCAAGCTTAGGGGAGCACTTGACCGATCTGTTTGTGAGTTATTTATGAGGATATATCATCCCTTTTGATGTTGTAATTTCATCGCCTAAAGTCTTCTTTCTTTCAGTTTTGTACAGGCTGTGATTTTTGACACGTTGTTTATCATTTATTGATTATTATTATCATTTTGTTTTTTTGCTTAAATTTTTCCTTCATCCATCTATCGTTAATTTTGTCTCATTCACCATTGAAGTCCTATATCTTACCATTGTCTGTAATAAAACAGAAGTGAGTTTATATCAATTCTATAATGCTCAGAATTGATACAACTTTGCTGATGAGGAAACATGGTTAAGATAAAGCATTCATAAACAAGAGCCTATTGGTATTATGAACTAACAAGGAGATGTACTGTTGTTATTATAGAACTCCAGAGATTCTTTGTTAGTATTTTTACATGGGGATGAAATGTATTTAGAAAGGCTGCACTCAAAAGAAGTTGCCAACAGTTAGGCTGCACTCAAAGAAGTTGCCAACATTTACTTCAAGATCAAGAAAACTTTGAAATGGATTAATTATTGTGAACTACACCCCTGATTTGGTAGTTGATTATTGTAAGAATTGTAAAAGATCAGTATGATGTTGTGCCATCCCATATTTTATCAAAATTTTTTTTTGTTTTATGGCTTCAATATACTTTTGTTGAATGTTTTTGAATCCTCGCTGCTTATCTTGATGTATCTGATATGATTTATTTTACTTTTTTAGTGTAAAATGAAATGATTTATTTCTTGATTGTTAGAAGGTATATACAACATTTAGAAATAAATTATCTCCCTTTAAGGTATAGAATTATTTATTAAGTTAATTGTATGTGTTTGAATTGTTCCATCCTTACAGTTTGGTCACACTGTTAACACGGAATTAATCTATAGCACCAGCACGGTGTTGCTTTTGTTGTCGGTGGTAAATATCACTAGCTGTTTGTCTTGTTATGTCTTTACACCCCGTGTTGTACCATACATACTAGATATATTGTCCAGTAGTGATATTGTAAACACCTTCCCATTGTAAAATAGGTATGGATTTCTATCTGTTACTGATTTATCTAATAACCATACTGTTACTTACTACATCCTCACACAGTACATGCTTCAGTTTGATACCACCACGGAAGAAGCATTGTTGTAATAGCATATTCATATCTTAAATAATATTGATGAAACATCATAGGTACGAGGGCTGATTGATAAGTTGTGAATATTGTATTTAAGGGTTTGGCTTGTGGTGGACATACTGCATTATTTTTCAACATGACCTCCTTCAGTATCTATACACTCTTGCCAGTGATGTTTAAGGGCTTCAATGACACAGAAGTTCTTTTTCTTGACCGTTCAGAAAATCCTCTACTGTATGTATGACATCATCATCAGATCAAAACTGGGTACCGGAAATAGAAATGAACTTCTGAACAGAGAATCCCTGCTTAACTTGTTCAATACAAGGCTCACAACTTATCAATCTGCCCTCGTATGCGAGATAGACCTGACCAATTTTATCCTTCTTGGTGATTAACATGAAGTCAATACAGTGCCCTTGCAATGAGTCAGTGCCCTCACAATGAGTCAGTGCCCTCACAATGAGTCAGTGCCCTCATGATGAGTCAGTGCCCTCACAATGAGGACATAGGGAACTGTCTATACAGAAATAAATGATATGACCTATTGATATCATTACTCGTCTGATTACATAAACGTCATTTGTCATCAGATTTTCATAAACACACAGCTCTCACATCTGGTCAATATTTTAGAAACTATGGTATCACTCCAGCCTTGCATTTTCTATCTGAAAAAGTTAGGAGCAGTAGTGTTTGAGAAGACATTACATGTAGTTTTTTTGATATTCAGTTCGTGTGTGTCCATTATTGATGATGTAATGATCCAGTACAAGTACACTGTGTGCCTTTTTTGTATAACTTAATCAGATTAAACTTAATTTGTTTTATAACACCAAGTTCATCACAGACTTCTGTTAGTTGTATTGATCACATGTGTCTGCACCAGAATGTTGATATAAAGCAACTTTCAGAATACACTAAGACAGTTGATGACAGACGTGTTGTGATGTAGATATGTTAACACTCTCAGTAAACACTCTCTCACAGTGTAATACACTCTGCCCAGTTATTATAAGTCACTCTTTTATACTCCTTGTATTATATTTATTCACATATCGAAAGCAGTGAATGGAAAAGGAATGGATTGTAAAAATGGATTCTCAAGAAAAAATTCTCTACAAAAAAAATCATAGAATTAAAATGTTTATGTTTTCATAGAACTAACAGAAGTATGACTAAAGGTATTTTTGGAGCGATGTTGAACAATAGGTACCAATATACATAGCAGTATAATCAAAATCATTAACGTGGTGTGTCACTGATTTTATAAAATATTTTATTTTTTAGTAAATTGTAAATAAGGATAGACAATATTCCACAGTATCCTGGATATTTATCCAGCCACAAGTGAATTGATATCAAACTATTTTTAATTTCACCAATATGAGCCATTGTGACTACCTTAAAGTTGTTTGAAGAATATTTGTGAAATTAGATTTTTATTAGGTAGGAATATCTTGGAGGATTTTATTACATGAAATATAAACTTGTGTTATTACAGGCTGGTACATCCAGGTGTGTTTTTGGTGCTCCACTAGCTAGTCTTGTCTCAGAAAAAGACAAAATACCTGTGATAATAGGGAAACTCATAAACCTGGTAGAACTGCACGGCCTGTATACTGTAGGAGTATACCGTAAGAGTGGAGCCAATGCCAAGGTCAAACTTCTCAAGCAGAATCTTGACAGTGGAAAAGAAGGTGAGCTTTGTCAATGGGTAACAATACTTTATTGTCAAAGAAAATGGATTTCTTCAAGATTTACTTACTTTTGATTTTAACCTTTTGTATTATAAATAACCTTTTCATGTCAATCTGATTTTTGTATACAGCAGATTATTTATTGCAACTTTTCAGACCTAACAGATATAGATCTTGTGGAGTTCAATATTCATACCTTGGCCTCCACCTTGAAGAAGTATTTTGTAGAGCTGCCTGAACCTCTCCTGACCTTTGACCTCTATGATGATTTCATCAGAACAACAGGTATGTTTACATACTACTAGAATATTAATTGATATATTTCAAGTATGTTTTGTAATGTTACAGAAATGATTATTTCTTGTACACTGGCAGTCCTGTTTTTAAGAACATGTTACCATCATGGCAAACCTGGTACATTTATAGATTCTAATGTTATTAACAAGCCTGGAAGTGTAGGAATTACCGTTGTTGTGGTAACATTGAAAATCCTGTTACTATAACTGAATAATGTCATCCTGTAAGTGTGATTGCCTATGTAGTTGGTTTCTGTATTTCCGTATTAATTATGTAGTTTTTGTGTGAAATGAGATATTTATTGTGTTAATTCATTGTGATATGTTGATATATACCATGTGGTTTCTATGTGAAGTGAAGATGTTTTCTTTGTGGTTTCTGTGTGAAGTGTAAATATTTACCATGTGGTTTCTGTGTGAAGTGTAGATATATACCATGAGGTTTCTGTGTGAAATGTAGATATTTACCATGTGGTTTCTGTGTGAAGTGTAGATATATACCATGTGGGTTCTGTGTGAAGTGTAGATATATACCATGTGGTTTCTGTGTGAAGTGTAGATATATACCTTGTGGTTTCTGTGTGAAGTGTAGATATATACCTTGTGGTTTCTGTGTGAAGTGTAGATGTTTACAATGTGGTTTCTGTGTGAAGTGTAGATGTTTACCATGTGGTTTCTGTGTGAAGTGTAGATGTTTACCATGTGGTTTCTGTGTGAAGTGTTGATATATACCATGTGGTTTCTGTGTGAAGTGTAGATGTTTACCATGTGGTTTCTGTGTGAAGTGTTGATATTTACCATGTGTTTTCTGTGTGAAGTGTAGATATTTACCATGTGGTTTCTGTGTGAAGTGTAGATATATACCATGTGGTTTCTGTGTGAAGTGTTTAGAGATATTTACTATGCGAGTTTTTTTTTTTACTTTACAGATATTCTGGATGAGAAGGAAAGGATCCAGTCACTGTATGCTGTTATAGACAAACTACCCAAGGTCAACTTTGACCTGTTTGAAAGATTGATCTTTCACCTGGCCAGGTAATCTTTACGTTGCAATAATACCTGTCTGTAATTTTACATAATGACTGTTATGTTATAAATCTCCTGAGTAACATACTGATTTTTTTCATGCTCAAACTTCATTGATTATTGTGTTAATTTGTTTGGATATGATCATATTTTTGTATTGACTTGAATTAAAGAAGAAGGTTTGAGTTCCTGCTAAATCTACAGAAAAATATTGTATGACAGAACTAATAGTTGACAGATTATCATTGTGAAGGTGTTGGTTTACAGGATTGCACACCATGAGGCCTTCAATAAAATGTCTGTTTCTGGACTGTCCATTATATTTGCACCCTGTCTACTGAGGACAAGCAAAAACCTACAGGCACAGGACTCACTTAGTCAGGTTCCTAGACAGACAAAGTAAGTAGCAAAACTCTTAATTAGGTAGACATAACATCAACTGTGTTTTTATTCTTCCCGAAGGGAGAGCATTTAGTCACTGTTTTGTCAGTCCGTCATAATTTTGTCGGTCTGTCATAATTTTGTCCGGAGCATAACACAAATACTATAAGAGGTATCAACATAAGACGTCATAGGTAGATAGATCTCAACAAGGAGAAATGCAGTGCACCAGAAACATCACTCTCTTTTGCAAAATTTAGGAGTTATTGCCCTTTGTTATTTTTCATACTTAAATTTTGTCTGGAGCATTACACTAAAATTATAAAAGGTATCAACACGAAACTTCATAGGTATGTAGATCTCAACAAGGAGGGCAGAACACAAGAATCATAACTATCATACTGCCTTTTGTTAGTTTACCCCATTCAGGGATCACAATCTGTTGTTACTAAAAGTAATAATCTGATTTCCAAAGTGATTCTCATGTAGGTTACTCAGCCTTATCTGAGTACAAACGATATTATGTGTTGAATGTTATTTTCCAATTTAATTTGAATTTCCTCCTGGTGTATCTGCCTGAACTTTCCATTTGAATGACCAATGACACATTTAGTTTAGTTACATTTGTTAGCTTTCATATTGTTTCTAATGTTTGTTAATCTTAAACATATTAAAGCATATCTAAAGCATTATTCTGTCATCTGTAATATACAGATTAAATCAAATAAATGTTAAAAGAAGTTCTGGAATTCTTTTTCAGAGTGATAAACCATATCATACAAGAACAACTATATAAGTTAAAATCCACTCTGGAAGACATCAGTACACTGGAAACTGCTGCAGAGACTGCCACAGACCGGCTCAATGTTGTCAGAGCCAGCATGAGGAAGGTAAGAATGGATTTTAGAACATTTTCTTCAGGTTGGTAATATCAGTATAAGAATTTCTATTCTATAGGTTAGAATGTGGTATTTAACAGTCAGTCAGAGCAAGTAGAAGGGTAACAGTCTGTCAAGGTGAGTATGTTACAGTCTGTCAGGGTGAGTATGAGTGTGTTACAGTCTGTCAGGGTGAGTATGAGTGTGTTACAGTCTGTCAGGGTGAGTATGAGTGTGTTACAGTCTGTCAGGGTGATTATGAGTGTGTTACAGTTGTCAGGGTGAGTATGAGTGTGTTACAGTCTGTCAGGGTGAGTATGAGTGTGTTACAGTCTGTCAGGGTGAGTATGAGTGTGTTACAGTCTGTCAGGGTGAGTATGAGTGTGTTACAGTCTGTCAGGGTGAGTATGAGTGTGTTACAGTCTGTCAGGGTGAGTATGAGTGTGTTACAGTGTCAGGGTGAGTATGAGTGTGTTACAGTCTGTCACAGTCTGTCAGGGTGAGTATGAGTGTGTTACAGTCTGTCAGGGTGAGTATGAGTGTGTTACAGTCTGTCAGGGTGAGTATGAGTGTGTTACAGTGTGTGTGTTACAGTCTGTCAGGGTGAGTGTGTTATGAGTGTGTTACAGTGTGTTACAGTGTCAGGGTGAGTATGAGTGTGTTACAGTCTGTCAGGGTGACAGTATGAGTGTGTGTTACAGTCTGTCAGGGTGAGTATGAGTGTGTTACAGTCTGTCAGGGTGAGTATGAGTGTGTTACAGTCTGTCAGGGTGAGTATGAGTGTGTTACAGTCTGTCAGGGTGAGTATGAGTGTGTTACAGTCTGTCAGGGTGAGTATGAGTGTGTTACAGTCTGTCAGGGTGAGTATGAGTGTGTTACAGTCTTGTCAGGGTGAGTATGTTACAGTCTGTCAGGGTGAGTGTAGATCTGTATTAGTGTCAGGATAGAAATATGTAACATTTTAAGGAAGAAAGAAAAAGAATGAATGATTGAATGAGAAGATCTTACTGCACAGTATTGTCATGCCTTTTTGACAATATAAGATGTGAAATGATTCTGTTACTCATTTTCAGGGAAACATTCACAAAAATGAGATTTTTCAAATCAATGCTGAGATTTCTATGCTGTATCGAACCATGAATAGAATAAGTCCTAAATTCTGGTAACATATTTAAATCATATTTGATTCAGATCCTGAATATGTATACAGAATGATATCACATAAACATAACGTAAACATCATATAGGTACTAGATAATGGGAAAATAAAAAATTGCATTAACTTCACTGCAGAGTCCTATAGAGGAGAGAAAGCGAGTGTCTGGAGCCTCAGTTACCAGTGGGGAGTCCTTAGACGGGATAACACATGCAGAAGAGATGGCACTACGCTCGCATATCAGGTCCATCAAAAAGGAAAAGTGTGTACTTGTTAATAAATTCAGGAAATTAAGATCATTGTAACATTAATTAAGGTCTCTCCTTTTTGTGTTTATTAACAGTATAAAAACTGCTGACTTTACAGATTTTCTGCATTACCACCATGAACAATGTGGCACTGATGAAGTCATTCAAGTTTAGAATCGTTTTCCTAAAAAACAATTGGTATTTCTGTATTTCATATTTTGCAAGAGATCTCTTATATCTGCAGTTTTCACATTTTGGTATAAAAAATATTCACATATTGATTGTAATTGATTTTCAGAGAAAACTTAACAACCAATTTACCAAATTTGGAGTGTCGACACCTGAGTTCTGATGATGAGGTTTTGAGTACAGATGACATGGACAGTACTTATGACACAGCCGACGACTTTGAAGACCAGGAGGAGTATGCCCTTACCTTTGAACTACCAGGTACAAACTATAGACTACATTCTATATAATGTTTAGTTTCCTATCACAGGAAATAAGACCTGATACAGAATGATTTCATCACTGAAGTAGTTTGTCTACTATACTAAGCATGTCTGTGTGTGCGTGTGTGTAGAGGATGAAATGTTTACTTGAAATACTATTGAACATACTCTAACATTGATTATTAAGGTATATCGTTATTGTTGTCGGTCCTAGCACTGGTTTCTTCAGAAAGAAATTTTTCACACATATGAAAGGTTTCAAAAGTAGTCTTCACTCAATGTTATGAAATAACTATCACACATTAATTTTTTTTAATCAAATAAATTAAGAAAATTTAGAGAAAATATTTTTTTACTTCACTTTCTGATTTCAAATTGCGTGTATGTAATGTAAATAATTTAAATGAAAATTGAACTAGAATTTGAAAATTCTATGATTTATGAATGATTAAGTATGAGAACTTGACAGAAAATGTTTTTAACGAAGATAAAGTTAGAGGATGATTATTTCTGTTTAGAAATCAGAGCAAGGACCTTTTCTTAATATTGATTTTAGTGTTGTAAACTTTTAACATATACTGTAAACTATTCTTGTTGTTGCTTCAGCTTATTGCTGTTTGATTGGTCAGCTCTGGTTACCTAGAAACAGAATAAATAATGCAAGCTCAGCTTTTTTTTTTCTACAGAGTGTTAAATTTACTAGTAAAGCACAATACACTGTTTAAAATGAAGTTTCTTCCCCATAATTTAGTAAACATCCATTTTCTGTGAACATGACAATTTATGACTTGAAATAAATATTTTGTTGGAAAGCTAGAAGAAAATAGAATATGGGTGTAACTGTTTGTACATTATGACTTGCCATTAAGCCATCCTTACAGGGAGGTAATCTGACTTTACATTAGAATTAAGATTATAAGGAAAGCAAGCATTTAATTTACACCCATCCAAAATGTTGAAAAAAAGGGTTTTGTGTCACTCATATACACAGACTGACAAAAAACTGCACCCTGTACCACACAAAGCTGTTAAAACTGCACCTTGTTTCACACACAAAAGGCCAAACAATTTGTTATGTGTCATACAAACTGTCAGACAATTTACATGTGCCAAAAACATCAAATGTAAAACGCTGCATCATATGTCACTCAAACTGGAACTTGCACCATGTGCCACACACAAACCATCAAATTGTACCATGTGACACACATTGTACCAAATACCAAGTGTCAAATGCTGCACCTTGTGTCAAACAGACTGTCAAACAACATCATGTGTCAAACAGACTGTCAAATGACATCATGTGTCAAACAGACTGTTAAACTACATCATGTGTCAAACAGACTGTCAAACTACATCATGTGTCAAACAGACTGTCAAATGACATGTGTCAAACATACTGTCAAACTACATCATGTGTCAAACAGACTGTCAAACTACATCATGTGTCAAACAGACTGTCAAACTACATCATGTGTCAAACAGACTGTCAAACTACATCATGTGTCATTCAGAAATGTTTGTACAATGCACCATATGTCTTTCACTAACTGTCAAACAATGCACCATGTGGTACCCATACCCAACTGAACACTACACCATGTGTCTCACACAAACTGTCAAACCATGCACCATGTGTCACACACAAACTGTCAAACCATGCACCGTGTGTCACACACAAACTGTCAAACCATGCACCATGTGCCACATACAAACTGTCAAATCATGCACCATGTGTCACACACAAACTGTCAAACCACGCACCATGTGTCACACACAAACTGTCAAACCATGCACCATGTGTCACACAAACTGTCAAACCATGCACCATGTGTCACACACAAACTGTCAAACCATGCGCCATGTGTAACATACAACCTGTCAAACCATGCACCATGTGTCACACACAAACTGTCAAACCATGCACCATGTGTCACACACAAACTGTTGTTTTTTCTGTTAAACATTTTCACTTCCTCTTTTTTTTGGCATTCCTGTCCTCCAGTAAGTATATTAGTGTTTTGGGTTATTTGTCAGCATTCTGGCAACCTCACGTTATCTACTGTCTTCCAGTAAAATTCTGATTTCATTATATGCACTTTGTTTTGGTTCATTTGAAACCATATGAAACAATGTCAGTTATATGAAACTGTGTTGCAGATTAAGTTCCTGTGATCTCTGCCAACACTTTATATCTTTATCACAATTTTAATGAGTAGACAGTAGAGCTGGCGTGATTCCACCAAAAGTCCATTCAACTTCCATTTGGACAGTTTATGGGCTACTATCTCACTCTGATCTGTTAAAGATCTGTTCTGTAATGATAAGAGATGTAAATTGAATTTTTGAAGACTATCTGATCTGTTAGATCTATTAAGATCTGTTTTGTAACATCTACAGAAATAAACTGATTTTTTGAAACTCTAGTCTTTTCCAGTAGCTGAGTGTACACTGAGAGTCATTTAAACTCTACTGAACAGAAAAGCTGTTCTTCAGTTTGTGTCAATCTTTTAATATATGGTATTCAAACCTAACCTGAGTAGCTTTATAAAATTAATAACAGTATTGCTGTATGTTAACACTGTGATATTCAAAATAAAACTTGAGATCTGGAGACAAGAGAGTGAGAAGCACTGCTGATATAGACTATACTGCTTGTATATCGCAACATCCTCTCCTCTTCCACCGTGCAGTCAGATCTGTTATATTATGCATCGTGTCAAGCTTACAGCTTCTTACTACAGAAGGCAGAACCATCCCCTTCAGCGGTTTATGTCTTTGTTTAAACATATTTCTTTTACAATATATTATTGAAATTTATTGTAATCATTTGCTAAGGCATTTCCTGTTTTACTTCTGATAAAATCCAGATCAGAATTAGGTAAGAACGGAAAAAATGATCTTCCTTATTAATGATCTTAGTGTAGTTTTTACTGCTTATTATAAATGTTACAACATATAAACCTTAGGTAGTATACACAGCTTCTCCTGGTGATATAGGACTTTGTATTAAATCATAATTTGTTTACTAACCTGTAATGAGGTACACCTGCCAAAGCTATGACCTTGTATAACTTATTAACCTTGTAACCTGCATATAATGCTTTTGATGTACAAATATGGTTTTATTTATCTGCTTAAAACAAGTAGCAAATAACAAAATCTGTTGAAAAGATGGAGGTTGGGGGGGGGGGGGGGGGGGCGGAAATTACAGTATTGAAAAAGACAAACACATAGAACTTCCTTTTATCGTCAAACTTCAATATTCATGGGATATTTTATGCCATTGCATGTGTGGATCTGTTCGAATGTCGGATATCTTCATGTCCGTTCATCCATCAGTCTGTTTACCTGTGAAGTTTAAGCAGGTTTGAATGTACCTGCTCATGGAAAATTTTGTGCATCTGGTTTGTTCACAGATTTTCAACTTAGTTTTCAACAAAAAGATTCATGGCACTATACACAAGTGTTTCTGATGTCTATTTCAGGGAAACTAGTTCTAGGTCACAATGCTTCTGATCAGTGTTATCAATTTCATTACACAGTACACAAATATTCCAAATTGTTACAGATCAGTTTAAGACCAAGACAACAGAATCCTAACAATGTGTTAGGGGAAATTTGGATTGTTTATGCATTCTAGACATTATGGTTCTCTATATCATTATTGGTAGCATCAAGGTCATGCATGATGATGGGAAAGTATGCTATCTTAACTCATTTTGAGGATTAGTTCAACATGTTTTCCTGAGATTTACTATATTTATATGTGTTTGAGGATTACAGTGGAGCTGCGTTGACCATTCTGTGAAATATACTGTTGTCACTTCCTAAATTTGTTCTTTAGAGAAGCAGTGTAAAGTTTACACCAACATTATATATAACTGTTGGCAATGTGACTTTACTAATCTAACAGTTTACACAGACATATATATTGACTGTTAGCCTACATTCACTGCTTTCAGACTCAATCAAAAGCTTTTTCAAATGATCGATATCAGACAAGGTATGTGTGTCACACTGACATCTTACTGTTGGTGTGACAAGTTTTCTTTACAGATTTCCTTTGTATGGTAGCCACTTGTCCTAATTTCTGTTGTACAGTAGCCTATTGTCCTGTAGCATGGTGCTCCTTATTTCTCTGCTATGTGAATTTCCTAGATGTAAGAACTTCTGAGTTGTATTTTTTATTTCATAGCCAGTAGGTTCACTAGGATTGCTATAAATCTGTTATCCATTTTCTCCCTGATAGGTTTGTAGTTTGTGAAGCCATCATGATATTATTTCTACAGACTCCCATTATCTCATGTCATTGCATGGTCAGTATAATGACATGAGCTGAAGTTTTAACTTAAGGTTAGCATGTCTACAATGTTATTTCTGTTTTAATATCTTTGATTGCATTGTGTATATCTCCGAGTCATTGTGTTTTACTTGTTTACCAATTCTATACCAATAATAACAGACCTTTGTTGTCTATAGTGGTCATAGACAGGTATTTATTTTTAAATCTGTTCACAATTTTAGAAAGGCATTTAAGCCATTGACATGCCCTGTCTTGTTTTCATCTTCTTTTCTTTTTTCACCTACCTCTCCTTCCTTTCCTTTGTCAGTTTTCATTTCAAACCAGTCTGTTCTTTTTGACTTATTGTTTGTTATAGACAACCTATAGAATGAATTTTATTGAATAGTTTTCAGGTCAGGATATTGAAGGTTTCTAGTGTTGTCTCCTGATTTTTTCAGATATGTAAGGAATTTAACTTTTTAACCAGTAATGCTGTCTCTGTCGTAATTTAATTTTCTGTGTGAAAATTACTCTGCCACAACTAATTGCTTGTGTTGTTTGAAAACTTGAAGAAACTTCTGTAACAGTGTGTAAACTGGATTTTCTGTAGGTATGAATGATTTCTGTAGTCCTTCCTAGAACCTGTATTATATTAACCATGATTTTGTGTGTGTAAAACAGAAGCTGTTAATTTCCATACTTTGAGCAAATGAATTTCTCATTGGTGACCAAAGATTTAAGTAATCACAGAATTATCACAAACAGTTACATGTTGCCAAGGTAACAGATTATAGATATTGTTGCTTTTTTGTAGAGCTAAATGCTATGGTGTGACATCATGTGATGTCGCTATGTTATGTAAGTTGATGTATTTTAATAGGGTTATATGTTGGTATTTCTTAATTTCATTCACTTTGCAGAATTAAAAATCTAACATTCAAAATATATCTGCATGTCATTAGCTGCGAGTTGGATTGGGTAAAATATGTTTAATTCTGATTGATAAATTTTTAATCAGGATTGAAATGATACCAAAGCTGTATAATACAGTTTCTAAGCTGTATAATACAGTTTCTGATTGTCGTATTTATTGAATTGATACCTAAGCTGTATAATACAGTTTCTGATTGTCGTATTTATTGATAAGGAGGGAGTGATTCCTGTTTTATGATATTTGCTTCATTATTGGTAAGCTAATGTTGCTTAGGGAAGTTTTATTTTTGTGCTGATCCACTAACATAAAGCTTATATTTATATGGCTACTACACATGTTTAATGTCTGTGTTTTGTCTGCCTAATTAGCTGACCACTGCTTGCAGGTGAACTTACGCTTGGTAGCATTTCTCAACAAGTTCCTTATAATTCCACTGGAGTTCATGTTATGAGTTTTGAATTATTTACTGAGAAACTGTTGAAGTATTGATTGCTTACAAAGTCTGATTGATATGTTAAATGAAAGAATAACAAGTTTGTAAACAAGGACAAATTTTGAGGAGAAAAAAAAATCGATTTTTGCAAAAGTTATGGATGATATTGAAGAACTGAAATTTCAGAGCACAGCAGTGAATCTTATCAGTGACAGGCAGTCTATATTAGACATTAGTCGGTTACTGCGAGATCAAGATAGGAAGACAAAAGGTATATCAGGGAAACATGTAGATATCCTACCATTGTTTCTTTGTCACCCTAGACTAATGCCTTGTCCATGTTTTTGTTATAGTCAGTCCCCCAACACAGTTGAACCACTTGACAAAGCAGCGAGCCACACTTCCACCAAGACGGCCACCAACACGTTACAGCAGGGCTGTGAAAAGGCGAAGACATTCTGAGAATTCTTACAATAATAAAGAAGAGATGGGAGAACCAAGTACTAATGACCCTGCATCCCCAGGAAACTATGATGCAGTTTTCTTAGTGGGGCAAGGGCGCATTCCTTCTTATGACTCCAGCTTTCTTTCAGTCCCAGGGCTACACAATATAGGCGAAGAGGACGAAATCATGGTGTGACTTTTGTGTTAGTTTGGATATGTCTGTCTTACATTCTACTTTCACTGAATTTAACTCACAATTTATCTTTTTTGGAAACACTTTAATATATTACTGAGATAATTCTATTGAAAATATTAATTTTCTGTGAAAATGAAAATTCAATTTATGAACAAACTGGGATTCAAAAAGGAATCTTTTGCAAGAAATCTATAGTGACCTGCGTCATTAATTAGTGAGGATGTGTACAGAAGTAAATACACACAAGTTTAGAACTAAAAGATACCCACCAATGTAATGTGTTACATAATGCTATCTGATTAATATTCTTGGTGTTGTGCCTGCAGTGCTATTGTGTGGTCACTGTTGGTGTAAGCAGCAACACTATGATGGCATGCCGTACACACAAATTTACAAATGTTATTTTTGGGTGGTTTTTGGCCTGTTTGTATTCTGAGCTAGAAGTTAGTTGCAATATCATGACAAAGATTGTACTTTCCATTGTTCAGCTAAATGTTTTCTAGTTCAGATAACAGTGTTCAGTTTGTCAACCTTATTCAGAAATTGGATAATAGTTTGTATTTTTTTCCATACTTGTTTTACATGAAAATATTCATTGTACCAGCTTTTGTGATCATGTGCTGGAGTAAGATTTTGTGTTGGGGCCGTCCTGCAGTCTATGTGGTTCGAACAAGTGCAATACTGTATGTTCATATTGACCGATACTTGCTATATACTGTATAGACAGACATACAGTGAAGACGGGTTTTTATTGCCAAATCTGCTCCAGACGAGACTGTAGATAAGTTTTTTCTACTTGTTTATTATCTTCAGCTTAGGTGTAGCACCATAGATATTGTAGGTATAAACCTGACAATATTTTTGTCTTTCTGGTAAACCATTAATCTAGTCAGCTCCCACCACTGGAGAGTTACTTCTGTGATTGGTAGGTTTAATAGTTATACACTAGCAGTAGGTAATTTATACAGATACACTATCATTTCCATATATACAATGAGGTGGTAAGGCTTTAAATGAGACTTGTGTAATTTCATAGAAAGATAGATAGAACATCCAGCAAATTGGATATGAAAAGATTACAGTTTGCCCATGACTATAGCACCATGATGGTGTTTTGGTATATTAGACAATGGTTGGCCCATGACTATAGCACCATGATGGTGTTTTGGTACAGTAGACAATGGTTGGCCCGTGACTATAGCACCATGATGGTGTTTTGGTACAGTAGACAATGGTTGGCTTGTGACTATAGCACCATGATGGTGTTTTGGTACAGTAGACAATGGTTGGCTTGTGACAATAGCACCATGATGGTGTTTTGGTACAGAAGACAATGGTTTGCCCATGACTATAGCACCATGATGGTGTTTTGGTACAGTAGACTATGGTTGGCTTGTGACTATAGCACCATGATGGTGTTTTGGTACAGTAGACAATGGTTTGCCCATGACTATAGCACCATGATGGTGTTTTGGTACAGTAGACTATGGTTGGCTTGTGACTATAGCACCATGATGGTGTTTTGGTACAGTAGACAATGGTTGGCCCATGACTATAGCACCATGATGGTGTTTTGGTACAGTAGACAATGTTGACCAGTGACTGTGATGCTGTTTTGGTACAGTAGACAATGGTTGACCTGTGACTGTGATGCTGTTTTGGTACAGTAGACAATGTTGACCAGTGACTGTGATGCTGTTTTGGTACAGTAGACAACAGTTGACCAGTGACTTTGATGCTGTTTTGGTACAGTAGACAACGGTTGACCAGTGACTGTGATGCTGTTTTGGTACAGTAGACAATGGTTGACCAGTGACTGTGATGCTGTTTTGGTACAGTAGACAACGGTTGACCAGTGACTGTGATGTTCTTTTGGTACAGTAGACAACGGTTGACCAGTGACTGTGATGCTGTTTTGGTACAGTAGACAACGGTTGACCAGTGACTGTGATGCTGTTTTGGTACAGTAGACAATGGTTGACCAGTGACTGTGATGCTGTTTTGGTACAGTAGACAACGGTTGACCAGTGACTGTGATGCTGTTGTGGTAAAGTAGACAACAGTTGACCAGTGACTGATGCTGTTAAATTATTGACTGGACAGTGATGTGGACACTTGTAACATTCCAGGCTCTCTATAATATTGATGTACATTATGTATCTGATCATATATTTAGCCCCAGTCATGACATTATACTGTGTATTATCCTTACATGTCTAATGTCTGTATGCTCACTTGTCAAACAAATTGGCACAAATCAAAAAACTTTGCAATAATTACCTGTGGTAGTTTGTTTTTATTTGTGTTGACTATTGACTTTGTAGATCATGAGAAATATTCAGATCAGCAGAACCACTTGAGAATAAATCCTACTCTTGTGAATGTTATTGCTTAATTGGTGTTTGATGTATGTACGTCAATTTAGGATTTCAAAAGAGTGTCAAAATAGAAAAAAATCTGTCAGGAATGATGTTTTGGTTAGTTTTTGACCTATATATTATCTTCAAATTTCCAAACAAAGGAGAACTGACAGTATAAGCAATAGTCGTGCTGCTACTTCTCAGATATATGCAAATATCATTCAATATATATGTTATATAGTAGTTGTTTGTAAAAAATCTGTGATATTCAACTATTAATATGTACTTTGTGCCTTTTAATTTTGTGTGTAGCTACAACAGATAGTTTGAAAGCGATACTTTTTGTTTTGAAATATGTTTGTTACATTCTGATATAGACATCGTTTTGTTACATTTCAGATTAGGTGGTATAGTGCTGTTTATATTTATTTTCATAATTGTGCAATGCTTATGGATGCAAAATGGTAATGCTAGTTTTAACTGCTCCTAATGTTTAATATAATCATAACTTTTGAAGTCAATATTTTAATATTACCCTGTACTTATTTTTATTAACTTTTATTTATTTGAGTTTGTTATACACAGATTAGTATTGGTCAGTCATTTTGGTTAGAGATTAAGCCAAAGCAGTTTTATGACCCTATGAAATAGGTTTGAATGATAGTATCAAGTTTGATGTTATCCATGGTGAATACTACATCAATGATTGCCACAGTATCATATTAGATTTAACAGTTTTTGTATCACCTACTGCCATATACCAGCAATATATATATTACACAAGAGGTTTCATTGAAAATTTCATTTGCGACATATGGCTGTATAATTTGTAATATATAAAACATATATGTTACCTCTTACCAAGATTCTCAAACACCTCTGATAACTTTTCTTGAGACTGTAACTGTCACTAAATGTCTATGCTTATTGATGTACACTTTATATGGAAGACCGAATATGTACTTATTGAGGTGTTGTATAGGGTGTAGAATGACAGTTGTGCCATAACGGATAGAAATCCAGCTGTGAGGTACTTGTTAATGTAGAGTGTTAGTGTAGACAAATATCAGTGTTAGTGTAGACAAATATCAGTGTACCAGTAGTATCATAGAAATAATGATATCGTAATAGTCGTTGTTATAGTGTCATCATATTACTCTAGTATTTTATTATTGTAATAATATTAGAACCCTGTTATGATATTACTGTAATATTCTAGTATTACTAGACCTGTGTAATAATATCACTACATTAGTGCTATGTTGTTAAAGTTTTCTAGCACTGTTACTGGAATGTTACATAAGTTTTATAATATTACAGTCAACTGTGGTATTCCTGTACTGCTACTGGAATAATACCTTAGTGTTATAATATTACAATGGTATTCTTGAACAGTCTGGAATATTACATAAGTGTTATGATATTAGAATGGTATTCTTATACAGTCTGAGGAATATTACAGAAGTGTTATGATATTACAATGGTATTCTTGAACAGTCTGGAATATTACACAAGTGTTATAATATTACAATGGTATTCTTGTACAGTATCTGGAATAATACCTTAGTGTTATAAATATTAAATAAGTGTTAACAATAAGTATTACAATGGTATTCTTGTACAGTATCTGGAATAATACCTTAGTGTTATAAATATTAAATAAGTGTTAACAATAAGTGTTATGATATTACAATGGTATTCTTGAACAGTCTGGAATATTACACAAGTGTATTATTACAATGGTATTCTTGTACAGTATCTGGAATAATACCTTAGTGTTATAAATATTAAATAAGTGTTAACAATAAGTATTACAATGGTATTCTTGTACAGTATCTGGAATAATACCTTAGTGTTATAAATATTAAATAAGTGTTAACAATAAGTATTACAATGGTATTTTTGAACTGCTACTTGAAAATTACATACGTGTGCTATGATATTACCATAGTATTCTTATATATTACTGGAGTATAATATTACAGTATTCTTGTAAGTCTACCTGGAATATTATAATAGTAGTATTAAGATATTTCTGTAGTGTATTAATATAAATCAGAGATGGCAGTAGTGGTATAATGTAATATTCTAGGACTAGAACTGGAAAGTTTGTACAGTACTTGTATACTCCAGTTTACATTAGAGATGGCAGTAGTGGTATAACTGTAATATTCTAGGACTAGAACTGGAAAGTTTGTACAGCAGTACTTGTATACTCCTGTTTACATTAGAGATGACAGTAGTTACTTCTCTATGTTTCTACAATTATAACGATTCCTCCTATTCTATCTGTACCAAACTTCCTATACACACACATTTAGTACAAGTCATACATAATAGATACAGTTTGTTGTCCTCATCTATGCATCGGTACATCATGTAAATAATCTACAGTACTCTCTGTAGTGGGGCGAAATTTCAGATAATTATGTACAGTAACATTAGTCAGGCTTTATTGCTCAAACTCAATGCAAAATATTTGCTAATTACATAGAGTTGTTTGTCAGCCGTTATGACGTGTAAATAAACTGTGTTCATATACTATTCAAGATGTAAGTATATATATGTTAGCTGACTTGACATAGTACAAATAACATGTCAACCCAACATTTGATGATGCTATAGACACATATACAGAAAAGTTAAGATTTAACTTGATTACAAAAGTATATACGTATGCTTTAAATGTTTGCTGAGAATTCCCTCTTCCATGTTTTGGGTTTCTCTGTAATATTTCATTCCATACTTGTCTGTTCTGTCCAATTACTATACGGACAAAATTCATATAAATTGCTTACATTTGTGAATGTCATCAAATCATATGATTTGTGCCATTTATCTAAGATAACTTGTTTTTAGAATTTTTATGTTGACAATAGAATCCTTCAATCATCCAATCATCGTCCATTACAAATGTTATCTAGGAATATTCCATTGACAAGAGAAATTGTTTAAACTGACTTTGTTTTGTTGTATGTACCAGAGCTGAGGATTTGTTATATAGGATTGCTGTCACTCTGGTTGAGTGTGATGGTAGCGACAGGAAGTGAGAGTAAGGGAGATAACTCAAGTGTCTTACAGAAAAAGTGGTGTTTGAGAGTGATCAAGTTTGAGCGATAATACACGTACCAATAAAAACGAATGTAATTTAACCTTGAGATTTCATCTTCTTTTTTTCTCTCAGTCTTTTCTTTACTCCACAAAACAGTACCTTAGATCCTCTGATAATTCATAGTTTGTTTGCAGAGTTTATCAGTGAGGGCCATTTGTAGACATGTTCTCTTCAAGTGGCTTGTGGCTGCCTCATTGAACCTAAAGCAGGAGACCTGACCCACACTAAGCAATGCCTTGGGGTAAAGTGGCTTGCTTAGGGAAACAACCATATAGCACAGCATGGTGTATGATCTCAGCCTCCCAAGAGACACCAATTGCTTTGGGTAAGGATTGAACCACATGTCACAAATTGTAGGTTGCAAAGACTGATACTCTGCTGGCTGAGCTATTGCTGTCCCCTGAAGTCCATATTATGCCACTGATCATTACCTATGCAAGCCATTTTTAGCTTAAGTAGTTCATAACATGCCAGAGGTTGTTACTAATGTGAGCAATTGCGACCCTCAGTAGTTCATAACACGCCAGAGATCATTACATCATGTTGCAAAGTCTCATGCTCCACTGAATGAGCTATTACTACCCCCTGTAGCTTACAGTTAAAAGTACACAAACCTAGTACCTCACGGTGACTTTTGCTAAAATTTGGACTTTGAAAATCAAAGTCATATTACTACCCTAGTTATGACTCTAGCAATCTACTTGATACAAGATGAAGATAGTTACCTCCAGAAACAGCCTCTGGCCTACCATCAAAATATGACAAATCTTTATCAATGTAATGATCTACTTGTGTAAGTTTTACTTTCCTATACATGTAAAATGCATATTTTCAATATTAAATTCAAATCAATAGAAAACTACAGAAGGAATAAGCTTAAACAGTCTCAAAACAAAGTCAACATAACGTGCACATCATTAAGCTATGATGACTAAATAGAAAACAACTTAAATTTTAGTATAAATCATTTCACAAATTTTATTTCATACTTGTTCAATAAAAAACATGATTTTACTCTGAATGGTACAGCTACAGCTGCAGCAAGGCAGTTATTGCTTGAACAGGTCCTTCATAAGCACCTATACATGCTTCACTCGCACGAGGTAAAATCAGTTCTTAAACTTTGTGACCACATAATTGAAATATTTATCTTACACAAATTTTAAAGCATTAGATGTATACTTTTATGCACTTGTAACTTTTTTCAGTAAAGGCTGGTAATGTATTAATTTCTTATCAACTATCACAGCTGACAGAAAAAACAGAAAATGCAACAATGAGGAAGTATTTGGTGAAAATATAAATAAGTAATCCCACAAATGCCTGTAAGATTTCAGAATCAAATCAGTTCAATATATTTTTCAATAAATGCATCGATATTTCACTTGACATCCTATTCAATATATAACATTGACATCCTATTCAATATTTAACATAAGTATCCAGTTACTTTTGTCTGAGAATAAGACTACTAAGTCCAGTCTTCTCTACTGACCAATGATTTTATCACTTTGAGGTCCTTACTGTTTATACTAACAATATATAAATAAACATTTCAGGTAGATTCTTGACTTAAAAAGTGTCCCACAATAACAGATATACGGGGTAAGCACATTGATTTATCATAATTATCCCACCACATGACAGACTTCCTGTGAGATCATTTCTCGGACCTCATCACAAAAGGTGTTCACAGTTATAACAACCAATAACATCAACATATCTGAGACCTGTCTACGTAAATTACACAAATCTGATCACATCTGAAGTTAGTACATAAAACAGATTTTCCTTCACAAAGAATTTTGGTACATAAGATACATCGCCATGTTTTCTTCTATGAAGTTTTTGACCATAGATTGAAATATCAACATTTAGGGACTGAACTTTGACTTGATAAGGTTCAATGAATACCATAATAAAATTTCATAACAATAAACCCTTTTATCAAGATTTAATAACAAGATGACCATAGGGCCTGCATCACTCACCTGGGTAAGTTTGCTAAAATTGTTTTATTCAAACTATCTATTTCTCTATAACAGGTTTGCCCCTCATCCTCATAGCAGTTAAATGTAGGTACTGTTTGTACAAAACTAAGTTCTCTGCACCAAGAATGTCTTCAGAAGAAGTATTTTAAAGAATCTGCTCTATTTTCACTATTTAGCCTCACTCCTCCCACCACAAAGTGCCAGAACCCACTGTTTGTACAAAATTGATCCCATTCTTCCAAACATGTCACACCAATTTTTGACAAAATACAGCTATTCCTACATAAGAATGATGTTAAAGAACTTGCTCTATTTCCCAAATGGGCCCCAAGGAGAGGGGGTCAGACAATTCACTGTTCATACAGAACTGATTCTCTTCACCCAAGCAGGCATCAGATCAAATTTTGACATCCTACAACTCCTGAAGAACAAGATAGATTTTAGACAAATTAATAGATTTTTCCCATTTGGCCCCACCCCTCTGGCTCCAAGGAGTCAGACCCACTGTTCATATAAATTGATTTCCCTTCACCCAAGCAGGTTTTAGACCAAATTTGTACAAAATCTTGCAATTCCTGAAGAACAAGGGAGATTTTAAAGAAATTGATCAATTTTTCCCATTGGACCCATCCTTTATACAAATTAAATCCCCTTCCCTCAAGCAGGCTTCAAACCAAATTTGGTAAAAAATCCACTCATGTGTTCATGACTAGCAGCAATTTATAGAAAAAGTTGACCGACGACGGACACTGAATAGCTCACCTGGCGCTTCCATTCATGTGAGCTAAAAAGTTTTACCTATTTAGAATTTGTTGATTTTCAGGAGAAGCGCAATAAATAAACAAACATTTAATTATAATATCTGCATGTAAATAGAAAAAGCACCTCTTGATGAATAACAGTACAAGTAGCACATAATCCTCATCACCGACAAAAAAAGGATTCCTGATGTACTGACTATGTAGTAGTTAATGGAATGATACAGGTTGTCATGATGCCTTCAGTACACATGTTCCTGGCTCTATCAACCCTGCAGTCGTTTCTGATGTACGTGCTCCTTGTGATATACATATTTCAGGTCCTTTTTGTGCCAGCGATTGGCTGTTATTGCAAACGTCAAACACACTGTTATCAGATTCTACACATTTAGCCTTAGATATACTAGTACCACTTGTATCTGCTATCACATTCAATGTCGACCTGAAAAATACAGCACATTATTAGCAAGATGAAGTTATGTTCGTAAAGGTAAACATGACAAATATTTGGAATTTATTTATGATCTCAAAACTTGAATTTCAAGACAACTTTTTGTGTAACCTTGATTTCTGGACACAAAATACTATAGATATACAGCATTGTAGATTTTTTTTAATCTTTACAACTTATCGGTAACTATGTAAGACCCATCTTATTCACCTGTTCAATAGGTCCTTGGAGTATTCTGACATTTCTCAGAACACAATTTTCATCTCAAAGGAAAACATCAATTCTAATGCATTGTTGTAACCTAATTTCTTACAGATAATATAAAATCAATACTTTTCTCAAAATCCTATAAAATTGGTTGATCTGGATTGTCCCAATTATGGTCTTTTTACTGGATAGGTCTATCATAATTAGATTTACCTGTTGTGTCTCAGGTGACTTTTGACCAGATGCCCTGCGGCTAGAGCCGACATAAGAGAGAGTTCTCCAGCAAGGACTGTGGCACAAATCACTCTAGCTAGCTCACCAGCATTATCTCCTGATTTACCAGTCGATCCTCGTAAACCTAGCATCTGCAACAAAAGATGTATTTACAAAATTTACCAAGATTTTATATATCTATTGTATAAATTCAGTTAAGATCAATTACAGCTACATGTATAATTCTCAAGTCTGAACTGAGAGCCATCCTTACACTTACTAGCCTACACTCTCTACTTCCAGTCTGCATGTTGAAAGTCATCCTTACACTTACTAGCCTCACTCTCTACTTCCAGTCCTCATGTTGAAGTAATCCTTACTAGTTACACTCTCTACTTCCAGTCCTCATGTTGAAGTAATCCTTACTAGTTACACTCTCTACTTCCAGTCCTCATGTTGAAGTAATCCTTACTAGTTACACTCTCTACTTCCAGTCCTCATGTTGAAGTAATCCTTACTAGTTACACTCTCTACTTCCAGTCCTCATGTTGAAGTAATCCTTACTAGTTACACTCTCTACTTCCTGTCCTCATGTTGAAGCCATCCTTACATTACTAGTTACACTCTCTACTTCCAGTCCTCATGTTGAAGTAATCCTTACACTTACTAGTTACACTCTCTACTTCCAGTCCTCATGTTGAAGCCATCCTTACACTTACTAGTTACACTCTCTACTTCCAGTCCTCATGTTGAAGTAATCCTTACACTTAATAGTTACACACTCCACTTCCAGTACTCATGTTGAAAGTCATCCTTACTTCTTACACTCTCAACTTTCAGGCCTCATGTGGAACTGGTAGTCATCCTTACCTTCAATAGCCTACACTTTCCACTTCTAGGCCCCATGTTGAACCCCTCATGTTGAAAGTCATCCTCACTCTTACTAGCCTACATTCTCTACTTCCATCATGACATAAGAGGTAGTATATAATGTAAGTATATTATACAGGAGACTTTGTTGTAAGTAAGGTACCACTGTGATAGTCTTCACCTGTCTCACATTCTGTAATGTTGGTACCTTACCTGCAGACACGCAGCTTGAGGAGGGAGAATAGTTCCACCACCCACTGTTCCTACTTCTATAGAAGGCATGGTACAGCTGATGTACAGGTCAGAACCATCAGGTCCAGTAGGCTCCATCAGTGTGATACAGTTAGAGCTTGTAGTGTTCTGGGCTGGGTCCTGGAAACAGCACATGTTACTCAGACTAGTTAAATTGAATGGAAGTAGCCTGGGCAAGTGCACAAAATTTGGACCACTTGCCTAGTGCAAGTGCTTTGAAAGAGACTGACTTCAAACCAGAGACAAAGAAAAACAATATTGCATTGTATACCCCTGACACATACCATGTAAAGTTTCTAACGTCGGACAAATTAAATCCTCAATATCTTTTAAAATATCTTTCCATAAACACAACATCATAACTGCCATAAACACAACATTATAACTGCCATAAACACAACATTATAACTGCCATAAACACAACATCATAACTGCCATAAACAAAACATCATAACTGCCATAAACACAACATTATAACTGCCATAAACACAACATTATAACTGCCATAAACACAACATCATAACTGCCATAAACACAACATTATAACTGCCATAAACACAACATTATAACTGCCATAAACACAACATTATAACAGTACTATTTTCTTTAAGACAGTTTTCATTATCACATTCATAAGTCTGAGCTCAAATAATATTAAATCAATATTTCCCTCTATTTCCCATATCAAAGACAACAGCAATCTGACCTGTCCTGTAGCAATAAAGATTGCAGTGACCACATTGGCTGCGTGGGCGTTGAAGCCGCCAATACTGCCTGCCATAGCAGATCCCATAAGGTTTTTACTGATGTTTAGGTCAACAAGTGCAGCCACAGTTGTCTTCAGCACGGACTTGACAATTTTTGCCGGAATCACAGCCTCGGATACCACAGACTTGCCTCGACCTTCCAGCCTGTAACATAAAGTAGGTATGGAAAAAAACTTAAGTCTGTTTAGAGATTCATAAAATATTTATCTTAAAAAAACCTAGACCTAACAAATTTAAATAAGGTTTAGTACTTGATGTTATATTACCAAAATTGCCAGTCAATCAATAAAAATGGTTTAAATTTGTCAGCTTACTATATGACAATGTGACAAATTACTCACCAATTTACTGCTGAAGGTTTCTTGTCAGTACAGAAGTTCCCACTCAGACTTAAAATTTCCATGTCAGGAAACTGCTCCAGGATAGTTGTCAATGCTCTCTCTGACCCCTGTAACAGTAAAACATAAAAGTGGTGTTAATAGTGCCAACACTGGTGTCTTAAGACATGAATACTTGGTACCTAGGCCCCATGTCTGGATACCAGAAGGTATGAAGGGCATTTGATGTATAAGTCAACTAGACGTGAAGACATGTATCCTAGACAACATACCTTAGATACCATATTCATCCCCATGGCATCTCCTGTAGTAGCAACAAAACGAATGTAGAGGTATCGACTGGCTTGTACCACCTGAATCTTCTTTAGTCTGGCAAATCTGTTAATGTTAGGCACAGTCATGTTTAAACAAGTTCAAAAGTTTATCAAAAGGTAGAATAGTGCAAATGAACAGCTTTTTATAAGGTCACCCAAGTCTTGTAAAAATGGAAAACACTTAGAGTTATAAGATCTTAAAGAATTATAGAATGTTTTACAAATGGTAAAATTAAATTAATTTAATTTGTGTGTGGTTGTGAGACAGGATCAACTAACAACTAGTTTATAATGGTTAGAATCAGGTTTTTTTATCCAAATGGACATATTTGACCACATTATCAAGTTTTAATGACCTATCTTTCAGACAAATTATTTTAATTTGCACAAATCACACGAATTAACTTCAGCAAGTGCATCCCCACAACAACTCTACCATATAACAAGAGGCCCATGGACTTTTGCATCGTTTGTAATTTTAACACTTGACCCCTGTGACCTTGAAAGTGGGTTGAGGTCATTCATTTGAATAAACTTGGTAGCCTTTCCTCCCAGCATGCTACAGACCCAATATCGGCACTCATAGACTTTTGCTTATTGAGATGAAGTCCTTTGTATATTTTAACATATTTGACCCCTGTGACCTTGAAAGTGGGCCAAGGTCATTCATTTGAACAAACTTTGTAGGGCTCCATGCCAGCATGCTATGGGCCAAGTATTAGCCCCCTAGGCCTTCTAGTATTTGAGAAGAAGTTATTTAAAGATTTTGACATATTTGACCCCTGCGACCTTGAAAGTTGTTCAAGGTCATTCATTTAAATAAACTTGGTAGCCTTTCCTCCCAGCATGCTACAGACCCAATATCGGCACTCATAGACTTTTGCTTATTGAGATGAAGTCCTTTGTATATTTTAACATATTTGACCCCTGTGACCTTGAATGTAGGCCAAGGTCATTCATTTGAACAAACTTTGTAGGGCTCCATGCCAGCATGCTATGGGCCAAGTATTAGCCCCCTAGGCCTTCTAGTATTTGAGAAGAAGTTATTTAAAGATTTTGACATATTTGACCCCTGTGACCTTGAAAGTTGTTCAAGGTCATTCATTTAAACAAACTTGATAGCCCTTCATCCCAGCATGCCACAGGCACAATATCAGCAATCTGAGCCTTTTGGTTATTGAGAAGAAGTTGTTTAAAGATTTTAACATATTTGACCCCTGTGACCTTGAAAGTGGGTTGAGGTTATTCATTTGAATAAACTTGGTAGCCTTTCCTCCCAGCATGCTACAGACCCAATATCGGCACTCATAGACTTTTGCTTATTGAGATGAAGTCCTTTGTATATTTTAACATATTTGACCCCTGTGACCTTGAAAGTGGGCCAAGGTCATTCATTTGAACAAACTTTGTAGGGCTCCATGCCAGCATGCTATGGGCCAAGTATTAGCCCCCTAGGCCTTCTAGTATTTGAGAAGAAGTTATTTAAAGATTTTGACATATTTGACCCCTGCGACCTTGAAAGTTGTTCAAGGTCATTCATTTAAATAAACTTGGTAGCCTTTCCTCCCAGCATGCTACAGACCCAATATCGGCACTCATAGACTTTTGCTTATTGAGAAGAAGTTGTTTAAAGATTTTAACATATTTGACCCCTGTGACCTTGAAAGTGGGCCAAGGTCATTCATTTGAACAAACTTTGTAGGGCTCCATGCCAGCATGCTATGGGCCAAGTATTAGCCCCCTAGGCCTTCTAGTATTTGAGAAGAAGTTATTTAAAGATTTTGACATATTTGACCCCTGTGACCTTGAAAGTTGTTCAAGGTCATTCATTTAAACAAACTTGATAGCCCTTCATCCCAGCATGCCACAGGCACAATATCAGCAATCTGAGCCTTTTGGTTATTGAGAAGAAGTTGTTTAAAGATTTTAACATATTTGACCCCTGTGACCTTGAAAGTGGGTTGAGGTTATTCATTTGAATAAACTTGGTAGCCTTTCCTCCCAGCATGCTACAGACCCAATATCGGCACTCATAGACTTTTGCTTATTGAGATGAAGTCCTTTGTATATTTTAACATATTTGACCCCTGTGACCTTGAAAGTGGGCCAAGGTCATTCATTTGAACAAACTTTGTAGGGCTCCATGCCAGCATGCTATGGGCCAAGTATTAGCCCCCTAGGCCTTCTAGTATTTGAGAAGAAGTTATTTAAAGATTTTGACATATTTGACCCCTGCGACCTTGAAAGTTGTTCAAGGTCATTCATTTAAATAAACTTGGTAGCCTTTCCTCCCAGCATGCTACAGACCCAATATCGGCACTCATAGACTTTTGCTTATTGAGATGAAGTCCTTTGTATATTTTAACATATTTGACCCCTGTGACCTTGAAAGTGGGCCAAGGTCATTCATTTGAACAAACTTTGTAGGGCTCCATGCCAGCATGCTATGGGCCAAGTATTAGCCCCCTAGGCCTTCTAGTATTTGAGAAGAAGTTATTTAAAGATTTTGACATATTTGACCCCTGCGACCTTGAAAGTTGTTCAAGGTCATTCATTTAAATAAACTTGGTAGCCTTTCCTCCCAGCATGCTACAGACCCAATATCGGCACTCATAGACTTTTGCTTATTGAGATGAAGTCCTTTGTATATTTTAACATATTTGACCCCTGTGACCTTGAATGTAGGCCAAGGTCATTCATTTGAACAAACTTTGTAGGGCTCCATGCCAGCATGCTATGGGCCAAGTATTAGCCCCCTAGGCCTTCTAGTATTTGAGAAGAAGTTATTTAAAGATTTTGACATATTTGACCCCTGTGACCTTGAAAGTTGTTCAAGGTCATTCATTTAAACAAACTTGATAGCCCTTCATCCCAGCATGCCACAGGCACAATATCAGCAATCTGAGCCTTTTGGTTATTGAGAAGAAGTTGTTTAAAGATTTTAACATATTTGACCCCTGTGACCTTGAAAGTGGGTTGAGGTTATTCATTTGAATAAACTTGGTAGCCTTTCCTCCCAGCATGCTACAGACCCAATATCGGCACTCATACACTTTTGCTTATTGAGATGAAGTCCTTTGTATATTTTAACATATTTGACCCCTGTGACCTTGAAAGTGGGCCAAGGTCATTCATTTGAACAAACTTTGTAGGGCTCCATGCCAGCATGCTATGGGCCAAGTATTAGCCCCCTAGGCCTTCTAGTATTTGAGAAGAAGTTATTTAAAGATTTTGACATATTTGACCCCTGCGACCTTGAAAGTTGTTCAAGGTCATTCATTTAAATAAACTTGGTAGCCTTTCCTCCCAGCATGCTACAGACCCAATATCGGCACTCATAGACTTTTGCTTATTGAGATGAAGTCCTTTGTATATTTTAACATATTTGACCCCTGTGACCTTGAATGTAGGCCAAGGTCATTCATTTGAACAAACTTTGTAGGGCTCCATGCCAGCATGCTATGGGCCAAGTATTAGCCCCCTAGGCCTTCTAGTATTTGAGAAGAAGTTATTTAAAGATTTTGACATATTTGACCCCTGTGACCTTGAAAGTTGTTCAAGGTCATTCATTTAAACAAACTTGATAGCCCTTCATCCCAGCATGCCACAGGCACAATATCAGCAATCTGAGCCTTTTGGTTATTGAGAAGAAGTTGTTTAAAGATTTTAACATATTTGACCCCTGTGACCTTGAAAGTGGGTTGAGGTTATTCATTTGAATAAACTTGGTAGCCTTTCCTCCCAGCATGCTACAGACCCAATATCGGCACTCATAGACTTTTGCTTATTGAGATGAAGTCCTTTGTATATTTTAACATATTTGACCCCTGTGACCTTGAAAGTGGGCCAAGGTCATTCATTTGAACAAACTTTGTAGGGCTCCATGCCAGCATGCTATGGGCCAAGTATTAGCCCCCTAGGCCTTCTAGTATTTGAGAAGAAGTTATTTAAAGATTTTGACATATTTGACCCCTGCGACCTTGAAAGTTGTTCAAGGTCATTCATTTAAATGAACTT